CTTATTTAGTCCTAGTTTAGTCCTGGTTTAGTCCTGGTTTAGTCCTGGTTTAGTCCTGTTTAAGTCCTGTTTTAATCCTTATTTAGTCCTTATTTAGTCCTAGTTTGGTCCTGGTCTAGTCCTGGTCTAGTCCTGATTCAGCCCTAGTTTTTTGACGGTTTATCTCTGGTTTAGCCCAGATGTAGTCCTGATCTAATCCTGATCTAGTTCTGTTTCAATCCTGGTTTAGCCTTGGTTTTACTTCTGATTTAGTCCAGGTTTAGCCCCTATTTAATCCTGTTTAGTCCTGGTTTATTGCTGGTTTATTTCTGATTTAGTCCTGCTCTAGTCTTGGTTCAGTCCTGGTCTAGTTCTGGTTTATCTCTGGTTTAGTCCTGGTCTAGTCCTCATCTAGTCCTGGTTTAGTCCTGTTTTAGTTCTGGTTCAGCCTTGGTTCAGTCCTGCTCTAGTCCTGTTTTAGTCCTGGTTCAGTCCTGCACTAGTCCTGGTCTAGTCCTGGTCTAGTCCTGGTCTAGTCCTGGTTCAGTCCTGGTCTAGTCCTGGTCTAGTGCTGCTCTAGTACTGGTCTAGTCCTGCTTTAGTCCTGGTCTAGTCCTGGTCTAGTCCCAGTCTAGTCCTGGTCTAGTCCTGCTTTAGTCCTGGTTTAGTCCTGCTTTAGTCCTGGTCTTGTCCTGGTCTAGTCCTGGTCTAGTCCTGGTCTAGTCCTGCTAGTCCTGGTCTGTCCTAGTCCTGGTCTCCCTGGTCTAGTCCTGGTCTTAGTCCGGTCTAGTCCCGGTCTAACCCTCTTGTTTTTTCCAGAGCGTCTCCCGGAGCTGCTCCAGGACCTGAAGCTGGACGTGCGCGAGGACAGTGGACTCTGCGACAGCGGCGTGGAGCTCTCTGTCGTCTGATTGGTCCAAAGCGCCGCCCATCAGACTCTCCCGACCAATCAACCAAAGAGACGCCGGGACAGCCAGCCAATCAGAGGCCAGGAGACAAGTCCAGAGCCCGCCCACTCACCACTTCTGCCCAAAACTCACAAACATATTTATGGACGGAGGCTAATCTGCTGAAGACGCTCTGCCGGAGGATCTGCCACCTCGTTTCCATGGAGATCTTGGCCTGGAATATTCCACAGTGTCCACGTATCCAACTTCTTTAAAAAGTTACTCAAGTAAATGTAACTAAAGTGCTGAAAATCATCTTAACTTTCTCCGTCGCTGATTAGCCTCCGTCAAAGTTTGAGATTCGTGAGCTGATCTTCAGTTTTAAAGGTGCACTGTGGAACTTTTTAGGTTGGAGATGCTGTTGCTGTGTCTGTAATGTTACGCAATGTTTTAAAGTTACATAAGAGGAATTTAATTAATTATCTGTGTTTTTATAGGTCGAAAAATGCCAAATCTCAACTGTAAACACACCTTTAAAAGTCTGGGGATAAAGGTTTTTTTATAGTACAGAAACCAGATCTAAACCAGGACTAAACTAGGTCTAGACCAGGTCCTAAACTAGGTCTAAACCAGGTCCTATACTAGGTCTAAACCAGGACTAAACCAGATCTAAAATACGTCTAAACCAGGTCTAAACCAGGACTAAACCAGGTCTAAATCAGGTCCTAAACCAGGACTAAACCAGGTCTAAGCCAGGTCTAAATCAGGTCCTAAACCTGGTCTAAACCTGGTCTAAACCTGGTCTAAACCAGGTCTAAATCAGGTCCTAAACCAGTTCTAAACCGGGTCTAATCAAGGTCTAAACAAGGTCTAAACCAGGTGTAAATTTGGTCCTAAACCAGGTAAACCAGGTAAACCAGGATCTAAAACCAGGACTAAACCAGGACTAAACCAGGTCTAAATCAGGTCCTAAACCAGTTCTAAACCGGGTCTAATCAAGGTCTAAACAAGGTCTAAACCAGGTGTAAATTTGGTCCTAAACCAGGTCTAAACCAGGACTAAACCCAGAACTAAACCAGGTCTAAATCAGGTCCTAAACCAGGACTAAACCAGGTCTAAATCAGGTCCTAAACCAGGACTAAACCAGGACTAAACCAGGTCTAAATCAGGTCCTAAACCAGGACTAAACCAGGACTAAACCAGGTCTAAATCAGGTCCTAAACCAGTTCTAAACCAGTTCTAAACCAGGTCTAAATCAGGTCCTAAACCAGGACTAAACCAGGTCTAAATCAGGTCCTAAACCAGTTCTAAACCGGGTCTAATCAAGGTCTAAACTAGGCCTAAACCAGGTGTAAATTTGGTCCTAAACCAGGTATAAACCAGGACTAAACCAGGTCTAAATCAGGTCCTAAACCAGGACTAAACCAGGTCTAAATCAGGTCCTAAACCAAGACTAAACCAGATCTAAACCAGGACTAAACCAGGTCTAAATCAGGTCCTAAACCAGGTCCTAAACCAGTTCTAAACCGGGTCTAATCAAGGTCTAAACAAGGTCTAAACCAGGTGTAAATTTGGTCCTAAACCAGGTCTAAACCAGGACTAAACCCAGAACTAAACCAGGTCTAAACCAGGTCTAAACCAGGTCTAAACCAGGACTAAACCAGGTCTAAACCAGGTCTAAACCAGGACTAAAGAAAAACAAACTGACCTGGTGTCATCTTCTACTTGTTTCTATGGAGAGTGAGAAGTTTAATGCCATACTTTGGGACATTACGGGCAAAGCAACGACACAAGCAGGTCTAAACAAACAGGAAAGTTCCACAGTGCACCTTTAAAAGTCTAAATATTGTTTTTATGGTACAGAAATGAGGAAAAAAAACATGAGGTGTAGTAAAAATTTAAAAATCCTGAAATCCTTGGGCATCTTGAACGCATCAGGAGGACAGTCGACCAATCAGAGCGCAGCGTCACCCGGACCGGACTGAATGTGTTTGAATGGGACTTTTATTATTGATGTTTGAATGTTTGTTTTGTGTTTTAGCAGAAAATGTTAAAAGCCAAAGAAAAGAAAAGAGTGTTTTTGGTTTTTTGTTGTTGTTGTTTTTTCTATGAATGAGTTGGTACTGAGCAGAGGACAGACGTGGTACTGAACAAGAGTCTGGGAAACTTTCATCTTTTAACCAGAGGTTTGGATTTTAAATTGAAACTCTACAGTTTTATCTGTGATCAGGATTAAACCAGATTAAATCTGGACTCAAGAAAAACAAGATAACAAGGACTAAACCAGGTCTAAACCAGGTCAAAAACCAGGTCTAAACTAGGATTAAACCAGGTCTAAACCAGGTCTAAACCAGGATTGAAACAGGTCTAAACCAGGATTAAAATGGGTCTAAAACCAGGTCTAAACCAGGATTAAAATGGGTCTAAAACCAGGTCTAAACCAGGTCTAAAAAGGACTAAAGAAAAACAAAATAACAAGGTCTAAACTAGGATTAAAACAGGTCTAAACCAGGTCTAAACCAGGATTTAAATGGGTCTAAAACCAGGTCTAAACCAGGATTGAAACAGGTCTAAACCAGGTCTAAACCAGGTCTAAACCAAGTCTAAAAAGGACTAAAGAAAAACAAAATGACAAGGTCTAAACCAGGACTAAAAAAAGGTCTAAACCAGGACTAAACCAGGTCTTAATCAGGACTAAACCAAGACTAAACCAGGTCTAAACCAGGTCTTGGTTTTTTGTCTAAACATGATTGAGTAAAATTTCTGGGGTGAATTTATAAACTGGTGCTAACTGTGGTCACGTCACTGCGAGAAGCACAAGGCATTCTGGGAGATGTAGTGTTCTCTGTCAGAGCTGTACAGACATTGGCTTTTCATGGTTTGATATTTTTTAATAAAGTTTTTTTTAAATAAAGGGCTTGTGTTTTCATTTTTTAAAACTACAATAGGTTTCTAATTGTTTTATTATCGGTTATTGTTAATTAAAATGATCAATTTTATTATTTAAACCAGGACTTCCTCCTTGAAAATAACAAAAAGATCATTTCAGGCAGTGGACACACGGTGGCGCTACAGGCCGAGGAGGTTTTTACATAAGTTTTAAAGTACAGATACTGGACTCGAAGTAAAAGTATCACATAAAATATCTAAATTATTGTGACCCAGAAAAGTCTGAGTTTTGAGCTGATTTATACAAAAACCACTGATTTGTCTAAAACCAGGTCTAAACCAGGATTAAATTAAGACTAAACCAGGACTAAAACAGGTCAAATCAGGACTAAAGAAACAAGATAATAATGTCTAAACCAGGTCTAAACCAGGAGTAAACCAGGTCTAAACGAGGACTAAAGAAAAACAAGAAAACAAGGTCTAAATCAGATCTAAACCATGACTAAAAAAAGGTCTAAACCAGGTCCAAACTAAGACTAAACCAGGACTACATCAGATCTAAACCAGGACTAAACTAAACTAAACTAAACTAAACCAGGTCTAAACTAAACCAGGACTAAACCAGACTAAACCAGGACTAAACTAAGACTAAACCAATACTAAACTAAGACTAAACCAGGACTAAACTAAGACTAAACCAAGACTAAACCAGGACTAAACCAAGACTAAACCAGGACTAAACCAGGTCTAAGACAGGTCTAAACTAAGACTAAACCAGGACTACATCAGATCTAAACCAGGACTAAACCAAGACTAAACCAGGACTAAACTAAGACTAAACCAAAACTAAACAGGACTAAACCAGGACTAAACCAGGACTAAACTAAGACTAAACCAGGACTAAACTAAGACTAAACCAGGACTACATCAGATCTAAACCAAGACTAAACCAGGACTAAACTAAGACTAAACCAGGACTAAACCAGGACTAAACCAAGACTAAACCAGGACTAAACTAAGGACTAAACCAGGACTAAAACTAAGACTAAAACCAGGACTAAACCAAGACTAAACCAGGACTAAACCAGGACTAAACCAGGACTAAACTAAGACTAAACCAAACTAAACCAGGACTAAACCAAGACTAAACCAGACTAAACAAGACTAAAACTAAAACCGGACTATCATGACTGACAAGAGAATCCACAATGTTACACGACCTTTTCACAGTTTTTTTTATTTTTTTTTTTTATACCAACCATCCAGACTCGGGTGTGTCCCAGTTCTGAATTGTGAAAATGTGGTCACTCTAATCTAAGTATCGTTTAAAATGTACTTTAAGTGTTTCAAAAGTACTTCACTCTGATTTTGATTTTTAAATTGTGATTTTGATCAGCAGAAGCATGAATCAATTTCACCGGTGAATTTGCCAGTTTGCTGGTTGTCATGTCAACAAAGTATTTTGATTTAATGTTGAAAACCACTTTCTGTTGTGCACTAATGTGAGTCAGTACAGTCACATTTTCTTTGTGATTTGGTTTTTAAGCAGCTTTTCTGTATTTTACTTAAAGGTTGTATGGAGGATTTTTTGTTTTTGTTTCAAATTGTCGATGAAAGTTCAAAATAAAATTATAATAGAGATGCAGCAGCCTTGTAATTATGATGACCAAAAAAAAAAAAAGAATGAAAATCCATCAACTGTGGATGTGATGGAATCCGTGTATCATTCGTTCATTTGTTTTTCAATATAAAACCAAAAATAAGAAAACGAAAAAACAACTGTTTTCTTCATTATTTGTCTCCAAAACCAAAATGAAAAAACAGATAATGATTCGTTTTTTCAGTTTTCGATATTGTGTTTAAATGAACAATGGAAAAAACGGATAACGGCCGTTTCCCGTTTATGTGACTTCAGTGACTGCGATGTCGAACTTTTGCACCGCGTACGGACTGAACCAGGACTGATCCAGGTCCAGGACCAGGACCAGAGAGGGACTGAGACCAGGACCACACACCGGGAGCAGAGAGGAACTGAGACCGAGACCAGCGGTCCGAGCGGTTCCGTGTCATCGTCTCCGCACTGGTTCCGTGCGAGGAAAGTGAGAATGTTCTGTGGACTACAGGTCCGGACGGGCTGCTCCAGTCCTCCGCGCTCAAGAACCACTGCGGCTGGTTCCGAGGTGGTGCAAAGCAACAAACTGACGCTTTCACACCAATGAAAACGAACCGAACTAAGAGCTTTTGGTTCAAATGGACCAGGTCCGGGACCAGACCGGGACAGACGGAGCCTCCGGACCAGACCACACCAAGGCCCAGATCGGAGGCTCAGAGCCCACGGCCGGAGCTCGAAGCTGAGGCTTGGACCCCGTGGAGGCTCAGAGTCAAAGCTTGGAGTCCGCCCAGTCCTTGCTCTGGTCCTGCTCTGGTCCGCTCTGGTCCTGCTCTGGTCCCGCTCTGGTCCGCTCTTTCCGCCCCAGTCTCGCTCTTGGTCCCGCTCTGGGTCTCGGACCTGGATCAGTCCTGGTTCAGTCTGTACGCGGTAAAAGCGCCCGGTGAAAGTTCCGGCTATAGAAAAAAACGGCTGTTGGGTTGTCAATCAAACTCCCTACGTTTGTAGTGTCACTGAGTTGCCGACGCGCTGGGATTATGTGGTTTACGTTTACCTCATGCACTGATGCTGTTTACTCAACCAACACAGTGGGTCTTAGCGTCTTTTTCGAACTGTAGCTTCTTCTCACACAAAGTTTGTTGTGACGGCAGAAAAAAACTCACGACCAGTTCGCCACAAAAGAAAGTCTGTTTTTGACGTAGCTGAAAGAAGAAGAGACGGGGAAGAGGAGCGAAGCGCGACAACTGAAAATGGACAAACAGTCGCTGCATTTCTCTTTCCTTGGAAAAATCTTCTATACAACCTTTAAACAAATGATAATGTATGTCTCTCTTTACTGTTGGTGAGGATCAAATTGGTCAAAAATAGGAACTTCTTGAACATTTCTTGTATAAAACTGAGGACAAATCAGTGTTTTTTGTATAAATCTGCAGGGACAGGGGACACAGGACTCAAAACTGGGACTGTCCTGGGTAAATAGAGACGTCTGGACACCCTGAGTTTGAGTCTGTTCCTTTTGAGTTTGAAGAATAATGAAGGTCTTGCCAAAATTTACGTCTAACTCATGGATAACTCTTTTTTTTTGGTTCCAGAGATTAAACCAGGACTAAACCAGGTCTAAACTGGGTCTAAACCAGAACTAAAACAGGAGTAAAACAAGTCAAATCAGGACTTAAGAAAAACAAACTGACCTGGACAGACGACCAATCAGAGCGCAGCGTCACCTGGACTGTGTTTTTGTCATTTTTAAGCAGCTTTTTTTGTATTTTACCTAAACAAATGACAACTTATGCCTCTTTTTACTGTTGGTGGGGATCAAATTGGTCAAAAATAGGAACTTCTTGAACATTTCTTGTATAAAACTGAGACAAATCAGTGGTTTTGGATAAATCTGCTGGGACAGGGGACACAGGACTCAAAACTGGGACTGTCCGATGCTGTTACCTGGTTTTAAGAATAGTTACGGTTTTGCTGAAATTCACGTCTATAAACTATAAACCCCAAGTTGTTTGCTTCTTGAGTAAATATTTTTTGTTGGTTCCAGAGATTAGACGTCCTTTCCTGATAGTATCAAAGACAAATCTGTCGTTTATTGTCCATTCTTGACTCACTTGTGTGTCAGTTTAAAATCGAAGGGACTTTTATTGGTGCGTTTTTTCGCTTTATGGTCGTTTTCAAGCATCGTTTTCTGTATTTTAGCTCAACAAATGACAATATCTCCTCTTCCTCACTGTTGGCAGGGATCCAGTTGGTCAAAAATAGGAACTTCTTGAACATTTTTTGTATAAAACTGAGACAAATCACCAGTTTTGTTTAAATCTGCGGGGACAGGGGACACAGGACTCAAAACTGGGACTGTCCCAGGAAAATAAAGACGTCTGGTCACTTTAAGTTGGGAGTTTATTCCAGTTACAGGGTTTTAAAAAGAGTGAGGGTTTAAGGGATTGTTTGCATCTTGGGTAACTCTTTTTTTTTTTTTTTTTTTTGGTTCTAGAGATTAGTCTTCTTTTCCTGATAGTATCAAAGGAAATCCTGTCCTCTAAACTGAACATTTTAAGATGCCCTGTGTTTAGTGTGACCAGATTTACAAAATTTTGAAAACTGGGACACACTCGGGTTGGGATTTTTGTTATAAATAAAATTGTGAAAAGAAAAGAGCGCGTAACATTGTCCATTCTCGACTCATTTGTGGCTCAGTTTAAAATCTAAGGGACTTTTGTTGGTGCTTTTTTTTTGCTTTATTGTAGTTTTAAAGCATCTTTTTCTGTATTTTAGCTCAACAAACGACAATATAATCCTCTTCTTTCCTCTTCAGATTGGTCAAAAATAGGGACAACTGGAACATTTCTTGTATAAAACTGAGACAAATCACCAGTTTTGTATAAATCTGCTGGGACAGAGGACACAGGACTCAAAACTTGGACCGTCCCAAGTAAATAGAGACGTCTGGACACTCTGAGTTTGCGTCTTGTTCCTCATGATGCAGTCACTGGGTTTTAAGAAGAGTTTGGGTCTTGCTGAAAGTTGGTTCCAGAGATTCGACTCCGTTTCCTGAGAGGATGAAAGGCAAAATCTGTCCTCTAAACATTTGATCATTTTCAAGAGGTCCTGTGTATAAAGCTGGGGTCCTCAAACTCTTTTCTCTGCCACGTTTTCGCTCTCGACTGTGATGTGGGTCGGGGGCGGTTCGGCCGTTTAACGTAACTGTTTGACCCTGACGACGCAGATTATATTCTTTGAAAACCGCCGCACTTTCTTTACACATCAGACAAACTGCACGCTCCAACACTGAACAACAAAATAATCGGTTGTCCACTGTTCTTTGAAAACTCCGCACTCTCTGTCAACTTTACGCACTTTAACACGAGTCATTTCTCTGTCCTTAACTAAACTACACAACTCTGCTCGTGTGTCGACTGTCACGGTTCGATCTTGAGTTTGTCAGGCGACGAAAATTCTGCGGCAAATGTAAATATGTCGTATAGTAATTTAAATATATGTATACATACTTTATAAATATCATTTTTAACTGGAAAAAATCAATAAAATACAAGATGCAGACGTGTTATTTGCCAAAAAAGTAATAAAAAAAATAGGCCATGACACTTTTAAGGATTGGGTTAGGGCCAGTTCAAGCGTTGGGGGGCCGGTCAAAGGGGCCTGGAGGACCTTAATGCTCAATTCAGATTTTTTTTGTGAAATCCGATGTTTTTGCGAGGTCGTTCACATTTCCAATTAAATGTGACTTGTATGTGACTCCAGTGTGAACATTAAACGGCCCGAAAGTGTCCCGCATGTGACACTGGAGACACGACGACGTCAACCGCAGCGAGCGTCTCTGTGTTTGTTATAGAAAAATAGTGAAAGGTGAAGGCGATGGGCAGGATTGATCCACAGGAAGGACCAAAAAGGAAACTTTGTCTGCCTAAATCATCCCGAGTTTGCAGTGAACATTTTGTACTCAACCTTGGTTAAAAATTTAAAAAGTCAACGCCAAAGCGAAAGGCACCAACTGTTCACCAAGAAACACCTTCCACTGCAAAGAGACCAAGACGTGATGTTGCTGTAAAACCACAAGAACAAGAAAGTGCAGCTCAGTCTGTTTGTCTTCTGCTCCTCTCACTTAACAAACGGGATCAAGCTTTGTTGACGCTCCACGTACAAAATGTTCACTGCAAACTTGGGATGATTTAGACAGTCAAAGATTTTCTTTTTGGTCCTTCCTGTGGATCAATCCTGCCCATCGCCTTCACCTTTCACTATTTTTCAATTCTGTTGGGAAGAGAAACAGTTTGAACGGAGGTTTAGAGTCACACACATCTGATTCCCTTTTGCATTTATGGAGTTGCAAACAAGTTTCTCGAGTCATTTTCTGCTGTTAAGATCCAACAACCACACAATTACGATGTCCGAATCCCAAAACTAAAATATGACAATATCAGAACCAGAAAGACTTGAAAAGATCGACTTTGTCATAGACGCATCCCACTGGGAAAACAAACATTTCGGTTTGATGCTCACTTTTTTGGAAAATCGTTCCCAGTCTGCACTGCGCAACAACCAGAAGTCCGAGATTCTTGATGTGTCTATTGAGCACCTGGAGATTTTAAAGTTCCTCTCGTACTGGAGCCAGAACATGAACAACTTACTTGTTTTAAGGAGGAGATTGAGAAGGAGAAGGACGAGGTTTTTGGCCGTGGTGTTTAGTGGGACAGTCCGTTTAAAGGAACATGTGGATGCAGAGACGTAGCCAAGAGTGGTGGGATTGCTGTGTGCTTCAGTGACACGGAGTTCAATAACAATGTTCGTATGACGAGAAGAACGTTTGTGTACATTTGTGGCTTGTTGATAACGTGTAGGTGGGATGAATGTGACCTGTCCGTTCACACTGAAGTCGCATGTCAAAAGATCAGATATGTATCGGTTTCAGGAGCACATATCTAAGTGTCCTGGGTCACATTTGAAAAAATCGGATCTGTGTTGTTCAGACTGTCAATAAAAGATCAGATACAGGAACATAGGGGCCAAAAAATCAGATTTGGGTCCCTTCAAGTTGCAGTGTGAGCGTAGTTTGATGACCCTTGGTATAGAGTGACCACACGTCTCTATTTAAACGGGACAGTCCCAGTTTTGAGTCCTGTGTCCCCTGTCCCAGCAGATTTATCCAAAACCAGTGATTTGTCCCAGTTTTATACAAGAAACGTCCCAGTTGTCCAGATTTTTAACCAATTTAATCACTGTCAACAGTAAAAAGCGACATAACTTGTAATTTGTTTAAGTAAAACACAGAAAAGAACAACCAAAACATGAAGAAAATGTGACTATACTGACTCACATTAGTGCCAAGTGTCGAGTAATTTTCATTAATTACGAACTCGTTTCACAATTTTATTACCAACCACCACAAACCAAACCAGGAATGTCCCAGTTTTTTTTATTTTTAAAATTTGGTCACATACCTGTTTATTTATCACCTGATTTTAAACTCTGATGATTAGACACAAGTGGATATGTCAAAGGCAACTCTTTTAAGAATCTCTTCTTTACTTACCACAAAGTCCACTTCACCTGGTTCAAAGTCTCTAGTCCCAGTGAGAAGACCACGGTGATCCTTAATCTACACCTAAAACCAAGTCCTGACCTTAAACGTTACAAAAACCCTGCTCCTAAACCTGATTCTGAACCTGTTTGTCATGAAAAAACGAAGCAATTCTGGATTTTCATGGTCCCACAAACGTCAAAACTGTAGATGCACGAAGACGACGCAGTGACAAGGTGTTTAAGATCAACTATTACTCAAAATTTAACTCACAATTTATTATTATTTGTTGATAAATGTGTGAAATTATCCAAGAAAACGTCCGTGTGATTCTGTAGTTCTGGGTGATTGTGCCGCTTCTGCAATTTCCTCGTGGTGTGGTTGTGGATAAAGTTTTTAGGTGTTTTGTCCGACTTTAAGCACAGAAATCTAAAAATTTTACTTAAACTTCTATACTGAATGTTTCCCAGCATCTTTAAGAACCCAGTGCACAACAGCGCCCTCCACAGACTGTATGAAGAACGATCGGCTTCAGTCAAATGAAGCTCAGCGAGGGTGGCGGTTATAGGAGCGAATTTTGAGCATTTTTATATGGATTATTTTATTCAACTTGGGTTATATTTACAATAAAAACAGCTTAAATTGTGTAAATAAAATCCTTAAAAATTCGGGACCAGGATCGGTATCTGGAATTACAAATATTTAAGAGATCGGTATCGAATCGGCATTAGGAATAGGAATTTATTTATGGACAAAATAGCAAAATCAAAATTAATCATTTCAGGATCATGTACAGTAAGTTTTTATGAACATTTTAAGACCAACATGATGAATAAGAAAGAAATCTGTGCATATTTGTCTGTAGTTGAGTGTAAAATAAAAATTCGTAAACTCTCGGATGAGTCCAGTTGTACGTAAAATGTTTTGTGTGTTTTTTATCCATCAGAATACGAATTGAAAAGTTACAACATCAAGAATTGTAATCATGAAATGAAACGATTACGCTTTTTTCACGTACGAATATGACTTCACAGACACGACTCGACTGTCAGAAATACAGGACTAAACCAGGACTGAACCAGGACTGAGCCAGGAGGACTAAACCAGGACTAAAATAGGACTAAAGCAGGAATAAAAAACAGGACTAAACCAGGACTACGTCAGGACAGATGTTGTTTAGACCTGGTAGTCATTCTAATCTAGACTAAGCTGGCTCAGTCCTAGTTCAGTCCCGTTTAGTCTTGGTTTAGTCCTGTTTTAGTCCTGGGTTTAGTACTGGTGTAGTCCCGGTTTAGTCCCAGTTTAGTCCCAGTTCAGTCCCAGTTTAGTCCTGTCTTTAGTTCTGGTTTAGTGCTATTTTAGTCCTCATTCAGTCCTGGTTTAGTCCTCCTGGTTCAGTTTTGGTTTAGTCCTGTTTTAGTGCCGTTTTAGTCAGGGTTTAGTCCTGCCTTAGTCCTAGTTTAGTCCTGGGTTCAATTATGGTTCAGTCCTGTTTTAGTCCTGTTTTAGTCCTAGTTTAGTCCTGTTTTAGTCCTGTTTTAGTCCTGGTTCAGTCCGTATGCAGCATCTCGATCTCGATGTTTCTTCCGTCTGTGAAATTACGTCATCGTATTTTTCAGTCGAGTCTCGTCTGAGTTCACGTTCGTACTTCAGAAAGTGTAACCGTTCCATTTCGTTTCTCGATTATAATTCTCGCCGTCGTAACTTTTCAATTCATATTCTGACGGACAAAAAACACACAAAACATTTTACGCACGACTGGACTCACTCCAGAATTTACGAATATTCATTTTACGCATCAACTGTAAACAAATACGCACCGATTTCCCAAAATATATAAACTCCCTCCTCCCCCCGAAGTGATGAAGAAACCAGGCGGCCGTTTTGGAGCCAGTTTTATTGACTGATAAAATCCTGTGACAGCGGCTCTCGACTAAAAACCAGAACAACTTAAATAAACATGATTGTGAGACATGCAGCGCGAGGGCGGGCTCCTGCGTGTTGGCACAAACACACCAAAAGTCCCCAAGAAAAGAAAAGCACACACTTCCAAAGCATTTTCATCGTCAGGACAACCCAGAGGTCAAAGGTTAACGCAAAGGTGAAGAGGAGGAGGGAGGAGGGTGGAGGGTGGGTGGATGGGTGGGGGGGGCGGCGACGGGTGGGAGGGGGTGGGGGGGGGGGCGGGGTTCACATGGCGTATTTTTGGGTCCAGTCCTGAGCTGTCTTGTTGTATCTGAAAAAAGAGAGAGAGAAAAAGAAGAGGAGTTAGATTCAGGAACGAGGAGGGAGGAAGCACGATGCCATGCTCCAAAAAAAAACAGTTTTTTAAATGCAAACGCACAAACATCTGTACTCGAGTAAAAGTGCTTCAGGGGAGTTACTTCACATAATGTTACTCGAGAAGAAGTGGAACAAGATCGAGAGCAGTAATGGACCTTTTCACAACGGTGCAAAATATCTGGAAATGAATCTGTGTGTCACTCGTTCATACGTTTTTCAAAATAAAACCAAAAATAAGAAAATGAAAAAAACAAAAAACAAAACAGATAATGATTCATTTTTTTCATTTTTGTGTTTAAATGAATAATGGAAAAAACAGATAACGACCATTTCCCATTGCTGTGACTTAAACTGCGATGCCAGACTAAACCAGGACTAAAACAGGTCTAAACCAGCTCTAAACCGGTCTCAGTCCTAGTCTCAATCCTGGTCTCAGTCCCAGTCTTAGTCTGGTCCCAGTTTCAGGACTGAACCAGGACTAAAACAGGACTAAATCGGTGTTAGTCCTAGTCTCAATCCCATTCTCAGTCCCGGTCCTGGTCCGGTCCCGGTCTCAGGACTAATCCAGGACTGAAACAGAACTGAACCGGGACTAAACCAGGACCCGAACCAGGACCCAAACCAGGACCGGAACCAGGAGTGTCAGGACTGGCCCAGATGTGTGCCCGCCTAGACTTTCGGGTGATCAGGAAACCGGGACTGAGACTGAGACCGGGACTGAGACCTTTTTTAGTCCCGGTTTTTGTCTTGGTTTAGTCCCGGTTTTTGTCTTGGTTTAGTCCCGGTTTTTGTCTTGGTTTAGTCCCGTTTTTTGTCTTGATTCCCGGTTTTTGTCTTGGTTTTAAGTCCCGGTTTTTGTCCTGGTTCAGTCCTGGTTCAGTCCGTATGCAACGCAAAAGTCCGGCATCACAGTTTAAGTCACGAAAACGGGAAACTGTTGTTATCTATTTTTTCCATTATCGATTTAAACACAAAATTGAAAAATGAAAAAACATCTCGTTACTTTTTTTTTCATTTTGGTTTTGGAGACAAATAATGAAGAAAAAAGCTTTTTTTTTTCCGCTTTCTTATTTTTGGTTTTATTTTGAAAAACAAATGAACGAATGATACACAAATTGAAATATCTGCCGTATTCTCCACCAGCAACAAGGTCCACGAAGGATAAACATTCTTCATGAAGAATTTATCTACAACTATGAAGGTAAGAAAAACGAAAACTAAAAGGCGAACAACAACGACGACGCGTTTTCTTCTTCATTACATATTTTTTGGCTGGTGCGACTTACGGTAGTTCAAAGACGGCTTAATTCTAGTCTAGAGGTAGATTATTTTAAGATATCTTGTCTTGTCTTGCAGGCACGGACAGATAATTTCTCTACTTTAGTAATTTTCTGATAGATTTAAATGTTTATGTCTCAAATTTTGGCAAAGATTTGTTGCAGTTACAGATAAGACGAGTGATGTTTTTTTTTTTTGGTATAAAGTCAACTGGAGCCAGAGTCGATGGAGCCGGAAGTGCGCCCATGCTCACTTCCTGTTGTTTGTCCATTTATGCAGTCAGTGGTCCAGATGAGTGAGTGAGAAAGTCCATGCTGACCCTGGTCCCGCCTCCACACTCGCTGCGTTCACATGCACGAGGACCGAGGACCGAGGACAGACCAGGTCCAGTTTCATCTAACGCGTTTAAACGACGACTCAGGACGCCGCGGATCCGTTCTCCCGAATCCCGATCACACCCGGAGAAGCTGGAGCGAACCCGGACTCCCGCTGCGATTTACACTCGAGAGGCATTCAACTGCACCAGGTCACAAACAGTCAGGAAAAACAGTGTCCCAGTCTGGAGCAGGTCCGACACGAGTTTTCATTCAGTTGTTTAGCGCATTCCCAAGTCCTCAGCAGGGATGTCCCACTTTAGAGTATTTTAGAGCATCAGATTTGGTGAAAAGATCGGTAGATACAGAATATATCATCCTCTAGAGCAGAGATTCCCAACATTTTTTTTCTGGGGACCCATATTTTAAAAGTCACACACCTTCGCGACGCAAATCAATCACAAAATAAAGTTGTATTTGAGCATTTTTGAACATTAACGAGGATATTTTATTGTTGACTGACTGATCGTGTCTCTCTGAACAATTAGTATTACTCAAGTTTTTAAATAAGCAAAAAAAAAAAGATCCATAAGTCGCCTATTTGGACTTTAAATGTGGCCTATTTCTTTTTCTTTTCAACTTTCCATTGAACCAGCAATAGTGGAACAAAATAGTCAATCAAATAATTACCAAAAGATTAGAAATATACTATAAATTATACTTCATAAAACAAATTATAGGAGTGCTGTTGGACAAATCCATGTCTTTGGAGGGGCACTGCAGCCAAGTGGTTAAAAGTTGGTTTTTATCAGCTTCGGAACATCACTAAACTCACACCAATTTTATCAAACGCTGATCTTGAAATGATTGTTCACTCTTTTATTTCATCTCGTTTAGATTATTGTAATTCTCTTTTTACTTGTTTTAATGCTTCTACACTTAAGCGGCTGCAGCTTGTACAAAAATGCGGCTGCAAGGTTTTTAACGGGAGCGAACAGGCGAAATCACATTACTCCTGTTTTATTTTCACTGCTCTGGTTTCCTGTTAAGTTCTGTGTTGATTTTAAAATTTTGGTTTTATCTTGCAGAGTTTTAAATGGTCAGGCGCTCCAGTACATCAGGGACTTACTGCGCCCCTACTCCTCAGGCCGCACCCTCCGGTACTCAGGTCAGGGTCTCTTGATGATCCCAAAGACCCGATTTAAAACTCGGGGTGACGTTTGCTTTCAGGCTGTGGCTCCCAAATTATGGAATATTGACTCTTTTAAAAAGCAGCTCAAGACACTGATATTTAGACAGGCTTTTATTTGACTGTGTCTGTAATTCCTCTGTTCTTGTTTATGTCGTTTTTATGCTGTTTTGCTCTGTAAAGAACTTTGTGATTTTTTTTATCTGTGAAAGGTGCTCTACAAATAAAGATTTACTTACTTTACTTATACAAAACATGTCTTAACATTTCATCCTACACGCAGAAAATCTCAGTCTTTGGGAAACAATGCTCTAGGGGTGTGCAAAAATATCGAAATATCAACATATCGTATCGTTTAATGCAATGATACAGTGTTGATATCGTGGGCTCCTGTATCAATATATCGCTAAGAGTATTTTGTAGTGTATTTTACTAAATTATTTAGTTACAGCTACAGTTTTGTTGCTTGTCCAGAGGAAGGAAACTCATTTATGCGACACATTTGACATTTTCACCGTTTCGATGAGGGTTTGTCCTAATAAATCTCACAATTTGCAAGTTTTTTCTCTCTGTTCTCGGGCTGCTCCCTCTCCTCCAGCGCGACCGTCTCAAGTATCTGATGTGCGAAGTTCATTCTTTTATACTGTTTTGATGAGTAAAATGGGCACGTTTCAGATGAACTTTGCACAAGAAGTGGTTTAACAAAGACCTTTCATATCACAGTAAGTAAGAGTTAGGATTTATTTTTTATTGAACCGTACAGAATCGATTTGAAATATATCGTATTGAATCACATTGAGGTATGTATCGTATCGGCAACTTCTTTTCGATTCCCAGCCCAGAGCAGCTTAAACACAAACTTTTAATGACAGAGATGATATTTGTTTTAAATCTGTCATGTTTTCACGGAGACTTAAGAGTGAAAAACAAACTTGGGACAAATCGGCAGAGGAGGAGGAGGAGGAGCAGAGCTAAATGCACTAACTTGTTTACACTTTAAGTAATCATGTGCTTTGGGCGACCTCGAAAACATAAATATAATATAATAAAAAAGTGAGATACAAAATCCTCTAATGATTCTCTCACTGTGATCTGAGGCTGTTGTACTGTGGACGAGTTTAATTTTACAACATTATAACAAATAATTAGGCTATTTTTAAGTTAGTCTGTACTTTTTCTACTTCACTCACGATCATTAACAATTAGAAGATCAGTTTTGGGAATCGCAAATATAAAATCGTGGGTCAGCGAGACTGTGTGGGGACATCCCTGGTCCTCAGTGCGTGTAAAAGGTCGTGAGTAACACAACAGTCCACATGAGCCAAACCGGAGCACAGACACAGCCATGCCTCAGTCTAGCTTACCCTCACAGCATGGCGTACTTCTCTGTCCACTCCCTGGCTAGTCTGTTGTACCTGAGGTTTACAACCAACCGCTTTAGTTTGAGAGCTCGAGTTTGATTTGACCCCTGCCTCCTGTAACCTGAGTGTTTTTAAAAAGGTCCATAACGCACTATTCTATATAGATCTGTCAGAATGTTGTTTCCTCGTCACAAACAGACCTGCAGTTGTGTTTTGTTTCATTCACATTCATTTAGACTGAGTTCTTGTCTCAAACTGAAAACACTGTTCCACCTTGTGATGTCATGTGGTAATACAGGAAGTGCTCCAGACTCAGGACTAAACACGGGAGTCAGGACCAGTTACTTTATAAAAGTAGTGTTTGCTCATTCCTTCTTTAAAAAGTAATCCCTTACTTTACTTAGTTGCTCTCTATGGAAATAAGTTTTTACTTTACGCGTCACTTCTTGGTGGTAAACTTCACCTGAGGATAAAACCATCACGAAACCGAGAGTCGACAAGAACCATAAGCGAAAGTTGAAAAGAACTTTGAAGAGAGAGTTCAAGAAGACGTGAAACTGTTAAGAGGTAAATGGGTTCATCAGTCTGCCCAGGGGATTCAACTCAGCGGGTGAGGGACGACCGCTCAGTGTGGGAGGATCCCCTCGAGGGACGTCTCCCCGGGTGTCGCTGGCCCCCATCGATCGCTCTCCCTCCAAGGCGGTGCCTGGGTCGGCCAGAAAAGTCTTGAGGTGGCACGACGCTCCAGCTGTGTGCTTTACAGCTGCGCCCTCTCAGGGACAGGGGCCCCTGTTCCCGGTGTGACTGTCCTCAGTGCTGCCTCCAGGGCGGGGACCAGCCCACATACACAGAAAAGTAACACTGCAGAATTGAAAAAGGAACTACGTTTTGTTACAAAATGTTCAATAGTAGCATGTTACTCTATTTTTACCTGGAAAAAGTATTTACTGTGACACGTTACACCCAACACTGGTCAGGACTAAACACAGTCAGTGTTTCAGATTCATGAAGCTAAAACCTGGAACAGTCTGAACATGTGAGACAGACTCTACTCTGACTCAGAACAGTTCTGTTTAGCTTTATATGACTGAAAGGTTTTTATTCTGCACTCTTCTGTCTCATTTAATGTCTCTCTCTCTTTTTAATTTTATGATTATACTCCTTCACTAGAATCATTTAGATAATGTCATTTCCAATCTCATGAAATTATGTACATTTACTTCAGTAGAGAACTAAAGGTAAAGTAAAAAAAAAGGTGTTAACTTGAAAATTACCACTTCATGACATCACAAGGTAGAACAGAGCATTTTGACCTTTGGAGAGGTAGAAAGACTAAAAATTAAAAGTTACTCAAACATGTGAATGAAACAAAACACAACTCCAGGTCTGTTTTTGACATGAAAACAACATTACAACACAGTCTGAAGGCTCAGCAGTGTAACACAGGACCAGAGTTACTCTGCTGATCTCTCTCTTTATTTAGCGGCTTAGTAATATTATTTTGTCCGTCATCTTGTCACCAAATTTATTTAAAGGTGTACTATGTCACTTTTCTGGCAAAGGGCCTGCCAGCTGCTTGTCTAAATGAAAATGTTAGTGCTTTACTTAATGTTCCACAGTATGGCATTAAAGCTCCTACATTATTACACAAAACTGACTCTTGTGAGTTTTAAGTCGTGTTATAATGTTATTTCCTTCTCAAAAACAGACCTGGAGTTGTGTTTTGTTTCATTCACACGTGTTTTGAGGAAGCTTTTTTATTATTTTGTCATGACATCTTGACATCTCCAAAGCTCAAAACGCTCTGTACCACCTTGTGATGTCATGTAGAGGTAGTTTTCAACAAAAACAACAGAGTACTTTCAGTTTGAGAGAAGAAATGAGCCTAAATCTTCAGGGTTTGTGAGTTAAACATGTGTGAATGAAACAAAATACAACTCCAGGTCTGTTTGTGATGATGAAACAACATTATGTCATCACGTAAAGAGCCATGAAACACCCTCGCGAATCTTCAAAATCTGAACGACGGGTTGTGGGGAAGCCCGGCGCGCTCTCCGGACTTTAGAACTGAGCGAACATTTGTGCTCAGGATCATTCAAGTTTATTTATGTCTATAGCACATTTAAAATAACTTCAGCTGACAAAAGTGCTTCACATATAAGCCAACAAAATAGAAATCATGGCGTTTTCATTTTTTTCTCCAGACACGGCGGGACATTGATGTGCCCAGCGGTGCCAGGTCGGGGCTGAGAGGGGCTCCCGTAGACGCCAGTGGCTGCGCTCGTCACGTAATAATCTGTGTTTGAATCACTGGTGCCGTTAGTCCAACCCGAAAACTCAAATGTACTGAAATGTTCTGGCCGTGGTTGATCCTAAAGAGGCCAGTACAGACACGACTTTCGACTCAAAAGTCAGAATGTTAACAAATATGCACTAAAATACTAAAATAAGTCCAGGGATAGAGATACACTTCTATTTTAGACCCACACATTTACACAGATAATCAGAAGAAAAAAGTGATTTTGGTGTTTATTGGCCCTTTAAACTCAGGATGTTTCGGTTCTCAGCAAAAAAAAAAAAAAAAAAAACACACCTGCAATACACGCATCAAGAATCTCGGACTTCCGGTCATCGCGCAGTACATACTGGGAAGGATCGTCTGAAAAAGTGAGCATCAAATCGCCATGTTTGTTTTCCCAGTGGGATGTGTCTATTGACAAAGTCGATCTTTTCAAGTCTTTTGAACCATATCGCTTTTGTTTCTGGTTCTGATATTGTCATATTTTAGTTTTGGGATTCGGACATCGTTAATTGTGTGGTTGTTGGATCCTAACAGCAGAAAACGGCTTGAGAAATTTGTTTGCGAACTCCATAAATGCAAAAGTGAATCAGATGTGTGTGACTGCAAAAACCTCTGTTCAAACGGAATTGAAAAATAGTGAAAGGTGAAGGTGATGGGCAGGATTGATCCACAGGAAGAACCAAAAAGGAAACATTTGACTGCCTAAATCATCCTGAGTTTGCAGCGAACATTTTATATGTGGAGCGCCATTAAAGCAAAACCCTGATCCTTCACTCAATCTCGAATTTAAAAAGTCAACGCCGAAGCGAAAGGCACCAACTGTTCACCAAGAAACACCTTCCACTGCAAAGAGACCAAGACGTGATGTTGCTGTAAAACCACAAGAACAAGAAAGTGCAGCTCAGTCTGTTTGTCTTCTGCTCCTCTCCATTAACAAACGGGATCCCACTTTGATGGAGCTCCACATACAAAATGTTCGCTGCAAACTCGGGATGATTTAGGCAGTCAAAGATTACCTTTTTGGTCCTTCCTGTGGATCAATCCTGCCCATCGCCTTCACCTTTCACTATTTTTCAATTCCGCTGGGAAGGGAAACAGTTTGAACGGAGGTTTGCAGTCACACACATCTGATTCACTTTTCGCATTTATGAAGTTTGCAAACAAATTTCTCGAGCCGTTTTCCGCTGTCAGTCAATAGACTCATCCCACTGGGAAAACAAACATGGCGATTTGATGCTCACTTTTTCAGAAAATCCTTCCCAGTATCAATTGCGCAATGACCGGAAGTCAGAGATTCTTGATGCGTCTATTAAAGAAATACCTAATAGAGGTTAAATGCCACACTATGGAACATTTCACGCCGAGCTTTATATCTGTATGGAGACAAGCAGGTGATGGACAGATATGTTTTTAGTTCTTCTAGTCTATTTTGATGCTACTTCCACTCATGAAGTAAAAGCCTAGAGGGGAGGAGTCAGTCCAGGTAAAAACAAAAACAAAACCAAAACAAAGATGGCGGTAGTGTCGGCGCTGGCGTCGGTCGAGACTCACCTAGCGGGGTCGGTTTTGTAGATGCGGGCGATCTCGGGCACTAGAGGGTCGTCAGGGTTTGGGTCACATAACAGAGAACAGATGGACAATAGGACTGAGGAGAGACAACAGAACAACAGTTAGACGAAGAAAAAAATATTTAAGTTTAGTGCGTCGTGTGTGTGTGTGTGTGTGTGTGTGTGTGTGTGGATTTGTGTTTGCATCGTTAAAATTCAGATTCAAACGAAGGATCAACCTGTGGAAATTCTGAACATTTTGGGTGCGCAACGGACTAATTCCTTTTGGTCCATCTCACATGATCTCAATTTTTATCAACATTTCAGTATTTCAATTAGGGATGGGCATTCGATGAAATTTTCTTAATCGATCGTCAGAAGAATTAACGATCAATTATCGATTAATCATTAACGTTTTTATATTAAAATGATCATCATTATTATTACTATCTGCACTAATCTGCATAAATAAATTCAACTTTACGGCATATAAACCGTAAAGACTCTGGAGCCACATCAGCCCGTTTGACATTATAATGTGTTTAATTCAGTTTTGCGCAACTCTCACAGAAACAAAACTTAAAACTGCATTGGTAATTTGCATAAAGTAAGAGAAGATAAAACTACAGCTCTTGTGTCGCTGATGTGGTTCAATTTCTGTCAGATTAAAAGACATGACTCAGTGGAATACAGGTTAGTGTGACCAGATTTGCGTTTGTCAAAACCAGGACACCGTACGGGGGGAGGGAGGCGGGGACTCGTCATCCACATTGAGCGACTCTCACCTGGCAAAACTTTTTCCCACTGGACACAGAAACATATGTGCTGCTTTATACACTGTGCACATGGACTCACACTTGTCCCGAACGCAACGGAAAGTGTGGAATTTCTTGTACAAATCATTGTTAAATACACATTTGTGCTTCGGTACGTTGCAGACTGACCCACTGTTTGTGTCTCGCTCCTTCTGATGCAGAGACACATGTACACACCTGTTTGGTCACGCTACACACAGCAACCTACATTCGGTTTGTCGATTAAAATTAACGTAATTGATGAAAATCTTAATGATCAATTATCGATTAATCGATTAATCATGCCCATCCCTAATTTCAATCATTTTACTCAATACAATATATGGAGAATAAATGACTTTTTGGCTCTGCTGATAAAATAAAATACTAAATACAGATATTAGGGGTGTAACGGTACAAAAATCACGGTTCGGTAAAAATGCGAAACCATTTGCTTCTTGTTTATTTGTGTTTTTATTAAACCAACAATTTGTTTTAACTTTATGCAAACGGGAAAATAAAATAAATGCAAAGTGCTGCTTGGTAATACTACTAAGTTAAATAAAATATTCTCAAATAAGCAACAAATGTATTAAATATTATAAGGAAACAACAGGAAACAAAACTAGTTTTCCCAGTATTTTGTTCAGATTATTGTTTGACTGCGGGGGCCACCTTCATCTCCTCTATTAATGGGAAACACTGTGGGCCTTGTGACAAAAAAGCTGTTATATTTGGCCCTGATAAGTTCTGGTCCGGTTCCAGACTGTACTCTGACAGAGGGAGGGACTGGAGAGACCACAGGACTGAAGTAGGCACAGGCTGGTACTGCAGTTTGACGATGAATAATTTTATCATGATCATTATAACAGTTGCTGACAGTTTATAAATGTTATGGATTTTAATTATTATAGTTTAATTGTTAAGATCCATGTTTCTCTGAGGGCAGCTCCAACTTCCCAAAAACGAGACTCAAAAGCCGGGGTAAGTCGAGGTGACCCTGGGTTGACCCTGGGTTGACTTTTTTCGTGGTTGGCCTCAAACTTTGGAAAACTCGACCCTCCCCTTCAGTCCATTCTTTATAATCTTGTTTCCCGTTTCCATGGCTTTAACTGCAATGCTGGACTTTTGCACCACATACGGACTGAACCAGGACTGAACCAGGACTGAACCAGGACTGAACCAGGACTGAACCAGGACTGAACCAGGACTGAACCAGGACTGAACCAGGACTAAAACAGTATTGAACCTGGACTAAAACAGGACTGAACCAGGACCATAAAATGACCAAAACAGGACTAAACCAGGTCTAAACCAGATCTGATCTAGGTCTAAACCAGGTCTAAACCAGGTCTAAACCAGGTCTGAACCACATCTAAACTAGGACTGAACCAGGTCTAAACCAGGGTCTAACCAGAACTGAACCAGAACTGAACCAAGACTAAACAAAGTCTAAACAAAATCTAAACCAAGTCTAAACCAGGACTGGAGTGTCAGGACCAGAATGAGATCAGAACCAGGACTGAGACCGTTTTAGTCCTGGTTTAGTCCTGTTTTAGTCCGGCATCGTTTTTTTAAGTGACGGAAATGGTCGTTATCCGTTTTTTTTCCATTCTTCATTTAAACACAAAATCGAAAACTGAAAAAAAGAATCGTTATCTGTTTTTTCATTTTGGTTTTGGAGACAAATAATGAAGAAAATTGTTGTTTTTTCGTTTTCTGCATTATCACTCTAATATAAAATGCCCCACAAACGATTATTGTCCACTCTTTTTTTTTTTTTTTGAAGTAATATTTTTGTATATTGCCCCGTCCCTCGTGTGGAGCCCTGGGTTATTTACACCGTCGCACGCTGCTTCATAGCAACAACATAAGCTCCACTTAGAATAGACCGGGACCGGGCCTGAACCGACCAATCACGTCACGCGGAAAACACACACGCTTCATGAAGGTGCAAATGCAAAGAGACCACACTTCAGAAATGAAAAAAAAAAAAAAAAAAACGCATCACAGGCTCTGATGGCCGATGTCCAGAACGTTATTTTGAGGGTGTCCGTTTTATGCACCCACGACGTTTTAAGCATGAAAAAACAAACAGCTTCTCTAATTCTTTCTGCTTTTAAATTGCTCGACTCTGATGAAGGTTTTTGAATTTATTTGCACTGTAATAAATTATTGTACTGAGTTCGACTTGTGGACTCTTAAGTGAAATGACATCTGGGACAAGGCCTGTAACGATAATAAATCAATTAATCGTACGATAACTTTTAACAATACCAGCGATAAATTCTATTTGCTTGTTTGTTTGTTTTCCTTGTCTCTGTCTCTTTCTCACTCTCTACCAAAAGACTTAATATCATTCGTTCATTCGTTTTTCAAAATAAAACCAAAAATAAAAAAAAAAAAAAAAAAAAAAAGATGACTTTCTTCATTATTTGTCTCCAAAACCAGAATTAAAAAATGGACAGCGATTAGTTTTTTGATTTTGTGTTTAAATTAATTATGAAAAACACGGGTAACAGTCGTTTCCCGTTTCTTTGAGTTAAACTGCGATGCCGGACTGAACCAGGACTGAACCAGGACTGAACCTGGACTGAACCTGGACTAACCTGGACTGAACCTGGACTGAACAAGTACTAAACCAGGACTAAAACAGGACTAAACTAGAACTAAAAAGGATTAAAAAAGGACTAAACCAGGACTAAAAAAGGACTGAACCAGGACTAAAAAAGGACTAAACCAGGACTAAAAAAGGACTAAACCAGGACTAAAAGGACTAAACTAAACCAGGACTAAAAAAAGGACCTAAACCAGGACTAAAAAAGGACTAAATAAACCAGGACTAAAAAAGGACTGAACCAGGACTAAAAAAGCTAAACCAGGACTAAACCAGGACTAAAAAAGGGACTGAACCAGGACTAAAAAAGGACTGAACCAGGACTAAAAAAGGACTGAAAACTAAAACCAGGACTAAAAAAAAAGGACTAAACCTAAAAAGGGACTAAAAAAGGACTAAACCGGGACTAAAAAAGGACTAAACCAGGACTAAAAAAGGACTAAAAAATTAAAAACCAGGACTAAACCAGGACTAAACCAGGACTAAACCAGGACTAAACCAGGACTAAACCAGGACTAAACCAGGACTAAACCAGGACTAAACCAGGACTAAACAGCCTTCAGATGAACCAGGATTCTCCCCGAGGTTAAAAGTCATTTCTAGAGTACATAAAGTAGGTCACCTTTTGAGACTGTTAGCGCTGGAGACCACTGCGATCTCAAGATGTCCAGACAGATGCTGCCGTTACTGTTGATGTTGGGGTGGTAGATTCTGGTCGTGAAGGCCACCTGGAAACAGCGGAGGGTCAGACCGGGACACGGCACGGATCAAACTGTACAGAGAGAGGCTGATGCGGGTCTGACCGTAAGAGCGTCTGAGCACAAATAAGAGTTTAGATTCTCCTCACAGCGGGAGACCGGGAGCCACACGCAAACAAACAAACACAAAACACTGCCGAGGCTCAGGGAGAGGACAGCTGCGGGTACGACTCTCCTCCACCGCTCAAAAGTTTTAGAACACCATGATTGCAATTCAAGTCCAATGAAGAGCTTGAAATGGTACAAAGGTAAAAACTGAACAGGCAGAGGTAAAAAAAAAAAGATAAAAGATACAAAAGACAAGTCCAAGTTCTGACAAAACTACCTCAGGAAAAAAGAACACGATGGTAAAACTTGAAAACATGAAGTGTCCAGACTTAAACCCCATCGAGCTGGTTTGGGATGAACTGGACAGAAGAGTGAAGCGACCAACAAGTGCCACACATTTATGGAAACTTCTGCGACAGACTTGGGAAGAACTTTCTGAAGAATGTTTGATTTCTGTCGTAAAAAGAATGAGCCACGAGCGTGTTCAGCTGTTCTATCTGCCAAAGGTGGACACTTTCATCGATAAAAATGTTTTAGAATACATTTCGGTCGACAGTAAACAGTAAAAAAATTGGAAAAAGTGTGGTGTTCCAAAACTTTTGACCCAGGACTCTTCTCTCACCGAAAACATCTGAATCAAAGGCCCCATTCAGACTAGTTCATATTCGAGTCGTTTTCGTTGTGGATGCAGTGTTCGTTCACACTAATCCGATTGAAAACGGCTCCGGAGACGGAACGATCTGATCCAGCAATGTGTGGACGCCTGAAAACGCTGATACGCTGTGAAGTAATTCACCACCAAAACACTAAGGCTACGTTCAGACTGCAGGGCTTAACGCTCAATTCCGATTTTTTTGTGAAATCCGATGTTTTTGCGAGGTCGTTCACATTTCCAACTAAATGTGACTTGTATGTGACTCCAGTGTGAACATTAAACGGCCCAAAAGTGTCCCGCATGTGCACTGGAGACACGATGACGTCGACCGCAGCGAGCGTCTCTGTGTTTACGGAAGTTGTCCAAACATGGACGCAGCATTGAGCACCTGGAGATTTTAAAGTTCCTCTCGTACCGGAGCCAGAACATGAACAACTTACTTGTTTTAAGGAGGAGATTGAGAAGGAGAAGGACGAGGTTTTTGGTCGTGGTGTTTTGTGGGACAGCGGCAGCGACGTCCGTTGAAAGGAACGTGTGGATGTGGAGACGGAGCCAAGAGTGGTGAGTGGTGATGTGCTTCACTTCAGTGACACGGAGTTTATTAACAATTTTCGCCTACTTCAGCGCAGAATAGTGACGTTTGTGGCTTGTTGATAACGTGTAGGTCGGGTGAATACACTTTGACCGTTCAGACTGAAGACACATGTCAAAAGATCAGATATGTATCAGTTTTAGGAGCACATATCCAAGTGTCCTGGGTCGCTTTTGAAAAAATCTGATCTGTGTCGTTCAGACTCTCATTAAAAGATCAGATACAGGAACATAGAGGCCAAAAAATCGGATTCGGGTCACTTCAGCCTGCAGTCTGAACGTAGCCTAAGAGTCTAGAATATATGTCCATTCATATAAACGTGTGTCTGTGTGTAAGACCTGCAGACGTATAATCTCTGAAAAGTTTAACATGAACCATCTCGAACGCGACAGAAACAGAGAACAGACTCACCATCAGCAGAACACCCCTCTGTCACAGAAAGAACACTCATATTCCACTAAGTCGTGCCCTAAGTCTGACAGAAGCTGAACCGCATCAGCGACACAATAGTGAGTTGTTTTTTTGAGCGCTCAGTTTATGCAAATTAGTCATGCGGTCTTAAGTTTAGTTTCTGTAAAACGTAAACAAATATGATCAAAGCTGTGTGGAGAGGGAAGACTTGTGGACACAGAAACGACATGTCTGGAGGCAAATCGTTTCTGATTCGGTGATTCGTTTCAGTGTAAACGTAACCAAAGTCTAACCTCTCCTCTACTCTCCTGACTTGTGTGTTTCTGTTTGCGTTTGTGTGTGTTTGCGTGTACATGTGTGTCTGCGTGTGCACATGTCCGTTTCAGTTGCAGCCACTTCTTTCGTTCTGTGCTTCTTATTAATAAACAAGCTGAAGAAAGTAAAATATTTGGACCATTTTGGAGTAAAACATGAATATTTAGTAACGCGCTGCACTTCCACATTGTGTTTTGAGCGTCTCTGTGCTGATCATAAGACTGTATTGTAAATAAGCCAGATGCCCTGAGTTATTGTCCTATCAACATTAAAGTGAATGGTGTGAAATATCACAGGGCTCTTATCGGCCGCACATGTGATTCAGAACGACTCGAGGTCGCACTGACCTTCTCCTGCTGCGAGTGTGTGAGCCTTAAGCACCGGGTCATTCAGGAAAGTGCCTCATACACACACAAACGCACACAAAAACACACACAAAAACACACACGCACTCAAATACATACAAACACATACATACAAACACATACAAAATCGCACACACACACAATCACATACAGAGACACACAAACGCCCGCATACACACACACAATCACATACAGAGACACACAAACGCCCGCATACACACACACAATCGCAGACAAACACACACACCGACACACAAACGCATACAGACACACAAACACACACACAAATGCACACAAACAGACACACAACCGCACACAGACACACAAACACATACAGACACACAAATACACACACAAATGCACAGACAGACAAACACAAGCGCATACAGACGCATACAAACACACACACAAACGCACACACACACACGCACACAGACACACAAGCGCATACAGATGCACACAAACACACACAGACACACAAACGCACACACATACGCACAAGCACATACAAACAGACGCACACAATCGCACACAGACACACAAACACACACGCACTCACACATGCAAACACGCAGACATACGCACACACACGCAAACGCATAGAAACAGACACTCACACACAGACACACACACAGCTTTGTTCAGTGTAGTTCAGTGTAGTTCAGTGTAGTTCAGTGTAGTTCAGTGTAGTTCAGTGTAGTTCAGTGTAGTTCAGTGTAGTTCAGTGTAGTTCAGTGTAGTTCAGTGTAGTTCAGTGTAGTTTAGTGTCTTCTTCATGCGTCTCCCGTCAGTGGAGTGTAAACTGTGGGCTCTGCGGCGCACACGTGTGGTCTATAAGTCCATAAAAAAAAAATAAAAAAAATCTAACTTACGATTTGAAAATATTCTGCAAACTACGGAAATTGGTCAAAAGTGAAATGATTGTATTCAGTGATTATATTAAACCCACTGGCCACTGGGGAAATATTTTATGAATATACAGTATGTATTATGAACGCAGCTCTGTGCTAAACTCCCTGTGCCTGCAGAGAGAGTTCTGCAAAGAAAGTGGTGAAATTTCAAATCAATTTTCCCCCAAACAAACTGGAAAAAACTTCAAATTCATTTAATTTAATTGATATTTTGCCGCACCCTATCTGAAATGAACAACTGTTTTCTAAATCAATTAACCAGATTTGATCGCGATGGAGCCTCAGGGAAACTGCTTCAGGACATTATTGATGAAGGACACTTGAAGACAATATGACCGTTTTCCTCCTGTGAAATACTTTTGCAAAACGAAAATGCCAGAGAGCTACAATTTTTTCCAGAAATTGAGTAAATATCAGAGCCAAAACGAGCCTTAGATGAGGTACAGTTAGACGCCTATAAAGCATAAACCATTATTCATTTATTAGTGCACAAAATTAGGCATAAAAATGATACATGTGCAACGGTAAAGGACATTTAAATAAATAACATTTTACTTATTCAGCACAATAAATGGAATTCAGAAATCCCTTGGTGAGCCAGGACTTGAGCCAGGGCTTAAACCAGGACTTAAACCAGGGCTTAAACCAGGACTAAGGGCCTATTTACTCGAGAACAGCTTGCAGGTAAAAACGACAAAATATTTTTGTTGGAAGTGCCTTTTGTTTAGACAGTGACGGTGTTTTTGGGGCTTAAAAACGCAAAAATCTGAAACCACCCCTCAGAGTGGAAAAGTTGAATACGCACCATCGTAGTGTTTCCATCTACACTGCCCAAGACACAAAACTCTGGTCAGATCTGCTCAGGTCGTGTACGCGTTTACGTCATGTACATCACCACTATGGTTGAGCGGTAATACGCAATGGTACCACTTTCATAACTGTCATTAAAATAAGATATGCAGCACATAAGGACCTAATGTAATATTATAATTTATTGATCCCTACATTTGTTTGTTCAGAACAAATGAATGTGTGGTTGTATTTTAAATGTAATGTTATTACAATTTAAAACTAATAGTGTTTATAATGTTTCTTTTAACTGAGCGGGGAGAGGACGTTTGATCAGTTTCGCTCCGTTGTCACATGACGCTCATAAGGGAGATCAAGAATAAGACGGCAAGTCCGGGCCACAAGAGAGTTGGTCTCAAAAAACAAACAAACTAGTACTTCTACAATTTGGCAACATTTTGGTTTCAGGCCACATATGTTTACGTTTTACAGAAACAAATCTTAAAACCACATGACTCATTTGCATAAACTATAAAGCGCTGATAAAAACAGCTCTTTCCTTGTGCGCTGATGCGGTTCAGCTTCTGTCGGACTAAAGGACACGACTCAGTGGAATACGAGTGTTCTTTCAGTGACAGAGGGTGTTCTGATGATGGTGAGTCTGTTCTGTGTGTGTGTGTGTCGCATTGGAGATGGTTCATGTGAAACTTTTCAGAGAGTCCGCAGGTCATACGCATAGACCGTACAGCAGTGCGGCTTCGTAGTTTACCAAAGTCGTACTAAAACGTTTTGGTAATACTGTATACCCGGTAAAATCCCGAGAAGGTTTAACGGTATCAAAATTTGGATACCGCCAAACCCTAACCACCCACTTTTGCGTCACCATATGCGCGCCGATTTCCTCCTGAAAACACTTGTCTAAACGTGGAATAAAAAGTGAAGACGCGACGCCACTTTTACGTCTTCTGCTCAGACCGTCATCGTATAAATGTAGCCTCAACCAGGACTTAAACCAGGACGAGTGGGCTGACCTTAGGTGGTTTGAAGGGGTAGTCTGTGGGGAAGTGAATGGTGAGGAAGAAGACTCCTCCTTGATATGGACTGTCCGGCTGCAACACAAAAAAACAAAAAACAACGACCATGAGTTTGAGTTCGGCTCCGTTTCGAAAAAGGACAAGGTAGAAGGAGATACTCACAGGGCCCATTATAGTGGCCTGCCAATGAAACACTGTGGAGAGAGAGAGAGAAGAACAGATTAAACACCGGGACAGAGGAGTATTATACTGTTACCATGGCGACGCAATGCACACATAAGCAAACACCGTCAAAAAAAGTGTCAAGACCGTCTGAAAACTCAAGAAAATGGATTTAAACGGCACATTTTCAGGAGCAGCAAATCATCATCATCTCAGCCGTTGTTGCTCCATCTAAAGTCTGCCATTTCTGGTCAGATTGTGTTAAAATTAAGCTAAAAAAAAAAAAAAAATCTAACTTGAGTAACAGAGCTTCAAGACAGAGCAGTGCCTTCAGTTAGCGTCACCACATCATCACAGAAATTCAAGGTACAAAGACCAGACACAAGGATGAGCACTGAGCCCGCACACCAGAGCCACACTACAGATTGCAAAAATATTGATATTTTACAGCTGGTGTCGTCAACGTTCCCTGGTGGTGACGCTAACTGTAGGCACTGCTCTGTCTGAGGTTTTATTAATCTGATCTTTGTTTTAACACAATCTGACCGAAAAGAGTTGAAACTACAAATGTTGAGCTGATTATCAAATAACATTATAGTCTTAAGTCTTAACTAACATTAGTAGTGGTATAATGATAAACAAAAATCACGGTTCGGTTCATTTTCGGTACAAAACGGAAAACCATTTGCTTGTTGTTTATTTGTGTGTTTATTAAACCAACAATTTGTTTTAACTTTATACAAACGGGAAAATAAATAAATGCAAAGTGCTGACTGGTAATACTAATAAGTTAAATTAAACATTCTTAAATAAGCAACAAATGTATGAAATATTATAAAAAATATATTCTTTGTAAACAGTAAACAAAATTTCTCAAAAAGTAAAGTGCAGCACAAACAGGAACTTTTACTCAATCTTCATATTTTTGGCCAAAAAAAACCCAACAACTTGTCCACACTGTCTGGAGTAAGTGCAGGGGAGGAGGGGGGAGATTCTTTGCTGGCGAAAGGCGAAAGTGAAGACCGCGGCTCAATGACGAACGTAGTTTTGTGAGGATTCACGTGGTTCGGAAGGATGTAGTCAAGGCAGTCGCTCTAACTATAAAGCGCTGCGGCAAAACACTGACACCCCAATCACGGACAAGTTCCCTCGTGAATATTAAAGAGCAGAGTCTTCCGTGTAGCTGCACATGTCGTGGCAAAATGTAAACAGACACAAATTGCGAGAATTCACTCATGTACAGCCGCGCACGAATTCATGGTTTGGCACGAATACATGCACCATTACACCCCGACGATAACAGATTATGCTAAAAAGTAGTGATGTCGAGATGAAGCCCCATGAGGCACTGAAGCGTTCCGTCCATTTGCTCGACTCTTGAGCCGATGCTTCAAGGTGCTTCATTTGCTCCACTGCGACATCAAGTGGACAAAAAATGTATAACAGCCAGAGTGATAATAATAATAATACAATCAACACGATCTGTTGCAGCAGCGACTGAAAATACACTTTCACTCGGGACAGAGGTTGTAGGTATGGGAGAAGAGGAGATTCAGTGCCGGCAAAAGGTGAGAGTGAGGACCACGGCGAAACACCTGTAGTTTTGGGAGGATTCACGTGGTTCGGAGGCGGGGGGCAATTGTTGACAAGCCGGCCGCCCTAACTAAAGCTCTGCGGGAAACACTGCCCCAATCACGGATGAGTTCCCTTGTGAATATTAGCTGTAGCTGCACATGCACTGGTGGAATATAAACACACACAAATTGCGCAAACTCACTCGTGCACGGCCCTGCACCAAACTGAACGTCCTGTACCAAAACGGTTCGGCATGAATACATGAACTGTTACACCGCTAAGCATTAGGCCACAGTTTTTCAGTTGTCACTCTCTCTTTTTGTTGAAAATCAAAAACTCCTAAACAGGACCACGAACACTCAGACTGATCACAGGCTCCTAAAAATGTGCTGTTTTAATCCATTTAGTCTTTTCTCCTGAGTGCGAATGTGAATCGTGTGCATCGTGTCACCATGGTAAACACTGAACATTTGACCATACACAAACACGTAGAACACCCCCAGCGTGATGTGATGTGTATCAATAGACCTTTTTCACAATGGCCAGAAGTGTCGCGATGTTGGGTAAACGTAACCTCAGGTTAATGGTTTTCTGTGGCAAAATGTGTGTGTGTAAATGTGTGTCGTATAGGCGAGTTTCATTGTTGACAAAAGCGCGCGTTGCATGCTGGGAATTATTTTGGTTGGCGGCAAGAAACACTAATTCAACATGACGGACGGAGCGAGAAAGCACGTAAAGGGTATTGATCCTGGTTATTTATCCACTCTAACGGCAGAGGACCCAAGACCATTTGACCAATTTGGTCATAAGCATCGATGGACGTCAAATCACCCTTTTCAACCCCGACAAAAGGTGGACCAAACCAAATTTCTGGTCAGAATCGCCAACTACCTGGACAAATATTCACTTGGGCGATATCCACAATGACTTGGTGGAAAACTCCTGGGCCATTCACAGCAGAAAAGATGAAAACCTCCAAGAGTCTCGATGTGTTGTTGAACTTGTTGGAGTCCACGGTTTGTTAGGATCTTCTACGTTTGCTCTGCGAATGTTTGAAAGCCGTTTAATTCACCGTTAGCGGTTCTTTTCACTCAGAATACGAAAAAGACATTTTCCTTCTTCTGTGCTTCTATTTGTGCATCCGATAATGCAGCAGGAATTTACTATTATCGGGGAGAAATACGCGAGGTTACGCACTGTGTTTGACGCTACCGTGTTTCTTGCCTCCGACCAAAATATTTCCCAGCATGCAACGCGGGCTTTTAATAACAATGACGTCAGCTCAAACTCGCCTATTCTCCACCAGCTTCATAAATCTGTCCCATCACCAGATCTTCAACCAACAAGGTCCACAAAGGATAAACATTCTAACATGAAGAATTAATCCAAAACTATCAAGGTAAGAAAGATCAAAACTTAAAAAGGAGAACAATGACGAGCGTTAGAGAACTACTGAACAAAAATAACGTTATGGTCATGAATAAAACAGAAGTAGCTTGTTCACTCAGACTGATTGTAGAATAAAACAAAAAATCGATTTCATGATGTTTAAATGCTCGACATGTAATTTAATTGTAGAATCAGTCGGAGTGAACAAGTTACTTCTGTTTTTTTCATGACCATAACATTATTTTTGTTCAGTAGTTCTCTAACGCATCGTCATTGTTCTCCTTTTAAGTTTTCGTCTTTCTACCCTTGATAGTTGTGGATAAATTCTTCATGTTAGAATGTTTATCCTTTGTGGAGCTTGTTGGTTGAAGATCTGGTGATGGGGCAGATTTACGAAGCTGCTGGAAAATACGTCACACATTTACACACACATTTCACCACAGAAAACCATTAACAGGAAGTTGCATTTACCCTGCATAGCTGCACTTCTGAAAAAAAGTCAATTGGCTGATGCAAAAATCGTTATCACAAGAAAATAAATGTCAGAACAGCACAAGGTTCTCCATTTTATACAAGTTCACCATTTTTGAAAGGATTAATAGTTCTTACATTAGACTTGGGTTGTACGTTTTTTATTTTGACCCAATTTGAGTCAATAAAGACATGTCCGTTTTTTGTTTTAACTTAAATTATTGTGCCAAAAATATGTAAAATTGTCCAAATCAATTTCGTTTAGTTTTATACTCAGACTTCAGTAGCACAAGTGACCCATATTTGAATAATTTTAATCAATAAACTAAATAAATGAACATTACAGAGAGGGACAATATCACTCTATGCTCTGATCTATGTTATAATGTCGTTTCCTCATGACAAACACACCACGAGTTAGTTGTGTTTTGGTTGCATTCACACATGTTTAACACACAAACACCCACGCTACTTAGCTCTTCCTCAAACTGTAAACACTCCGTTCCACCTTGTGATGTCACGTGGCGGCACAGGAAGCGCTCCACCTTCGCCGGAGTCGTAATTTCAGCCCTGGAACTGCCAATCTCCGCTGAACGACTGCAGGTTAAATGTGGTTATTAACTTGAAAACTACTGCTTCGTGATATCATGAGGTGGAACAGAGCGTTTTTGGAGGTTTGGGGACGTGGACAGACTGAGAGTGATAATAAAGAGTTACTCAAACATGTGTGAATGAAACGAAACTCAACTCCAGGTCTGTTTTTGAAAAGGAAACAACATTCTAACATGACTAAAAGTTCACAAGAGACAGTTTTGCATAATATAGAACGATGTAAGACTCTGGTTCATTTGATAAACAAAACACACGTCTGCAGTGCTCCCCGTGCGGCTGATGATTACAGACAAACCAGTTTATCGGTTTGCTGGTACATCGGGCCGATATTTCCACTTTTTTGGTAGTGTCGAGGCTTCGAAGCGTGTGCCGAGTAATCCAGAAAGACTTTGGTGAAGCGCGTATCGAGTAGGGATGGGCATGATTAATCTATTAATCGATAATTTATCATTAAGAATTTCATCGATTACGTTCATTTTAATCGACAAACCGAATGTAGGTTGCTGTGCGTAGCGTGACCAAACAGGTCTGTACATGTGTCTCTGCATCAGAAGGAGTGAGACACAAACAGTGGGTCAGTCTGCAACGTACTGAAGCACAAATGCGTATTTAACGATGATTTGTACAAGAAATTCTACACTTTCCGTTGCGTTCGGGACAAGTGTGAGTCCATGTGCACAGTGTATAAAGCAGCACATATGTTTCTGTGTCCAGTGGGGAAAAGTTTTGCCAGGTGAGAGTCGCTCAATGTCGATTAATTCTTCCGACGATCGATTAAGAAAATTTCATCAAATGACCATCCCTAGTTTCGTTTAAAGTCCAGTGCGGTTTATTTGTGAAAAAAGTTCGAAAATAGACCATTTAATGGCAGCATGCCTTATAATCCAGAGCGCCTAATAGTGCGGAAAATACAGTACCATTACACCCCTCGTTATCGGCCTTAAATCTACAGCACAGACATTCGATATTTTGCTTTGGCCGACCTGCTGCCCACAATACACAAATAAATCTTAACATGAACTCTTTTAAAGGTCTTATATTATGCAAAACTGACTCTTGTGAGGGTTTAGTAATGTTATAATGTCGTTACCTCCTCAAAAACAGACCTGGAGTTGTGTTTTGTTTCATTCACACACGTTTGAGTAACTTTATTATTATTCTGTCCACATCTCCAAAGCTCAAAATGTTGCGTTCCAACTTGTGATGTCATAAAGTTTTCAGTTTGAGAGAAAAACTCAACCTAAATATTCAAGGTTTGTGTGTTAAATGTGTGAATGAAACAAAACACAACTCCTAAATTTGGTGCTTTTGGTCAATATAGAAAAAAAATGACGTGAATATTCGCTGATGCACTAAAGCTGGTGGAGGTGCAGTGACATAATACACTAGTGCCCTTAAGGGGGGGGTCTAACTCTCTGCTATGGCCAGAGTTTGGTCCAGAGCAGACACAGGAGCAAACAGGTCTTACTGTCTTCTCCCACTGGTCCAGCTGAGCACTGCGCCGGAGGGTCTTTGGACAGGTCCGTTAGCTCCTGGAAAACAAAAAGAGAAACGGCAAATGAAAATGATGTTTGGATCCTACTTTAGTCCAGAGTTAGAAGGATAACCCAGGAATAAAAGAGAAAAGATGAAAGTAAACCAAGGCTGAACCAGGAGTAAACCAGGACTAAACCAGGAAACTAAACCAGGGTAAACCAGAAACCAGACTGAACCAGGTAAACCAGGACTAAACCAGGAAACCAGGACCAGGACTAAACTAAACCAGGGCCAAAACTAAACCAGAGCTAAACCAGGACCAAACTTGGGCTAAGCCAGAACGAAACCAGGTATAAACCATTACTACACCAGGATTAAACCAGTGCGAAAACAGGACTAAACCAGGACTAAACCAAGACTAAACCAGGACTAAACCAGGAAAACAGGACTAAACCAAGACTAAACCAAGGACTAAACCAACTAAACCAGGACTAAACCAGGACTAAAACCAGGACTAAACAGGACTAAAAGGACCAAAGAAATAAACCAGGGTTAAACCAGGACTAAACCAGGCCTAAAATAGGGTGGTCTGAAATGAGTGTTATTGAAAAAAAAATATATCTAGACCTTTTTTTAGATGCCAATGAGTCTGAAATCTGCCAAAACGAGCCGGTAAGTACCTTTGTTTTCACTGCAGTATCAGATAAAACTTTCAAACTCTTAAATAAAAATCAAACTCCATTTCAATATTAAGGAATAAAGTAGATACAGATTACGATACACTTTACTCTTTTCTATTCCCATGTGGTCTTATATCTGTGTAAACCCTCGGTGGTCCAGGTCTAAACCAGGTCTAAGCCAGGTCCATGGGCGTATTCTAGTCCATGTGCTCTTATATTTGTTCTGATACAGCTCAAAATAATTCAAAAGTTTTTCAGGAAAGGTTCATTTTTGTCCTGAGAGAACTTTTTGTTTTGACGTCTTGTCGTCTCTGAGATAACCAACAAAACCAAAGCTCAAGGAGGACCAAACCAGGACTAAACACGCAGGAAAGGTAGGAGTCCAGTAAATAAAAGCGGGACAGGATATAATGAGGGGGTCTAGTTTCTTTGTAGTACAGTTACAGTCCCAGCTGGTCCGGTTTTAGTCCTGGACCGGGTTTGGGGGACTCAGCACTGGGATATATTTGTATTGAGACTCAGTTTAGACCCGGTTTAGACTTTCACGGGCCGGTATGTGGACCACAGCATCGACTTTCAGCTTAGAAAGGCCACACAGCACCGAGCTCCAGAGTGGCCAGAGAAGACCTGGTCTAGATCTGGTTCAGTCCTGGTTTAGTCCTGGTTTAGATTCCTAGAAGCCCAGATTACGCCATTTTCGATGATCTGTTTTATTTTTAATCTTATTTCCTCATCACTAACATACCAAGAGTTGTGTTTTGATTCACTCACTTTGAAAACATCGTGTTCCACCTTGCGATGTCATGTTGTGACACAAGTGCTCCACTGTGTTTTTAAAATCCAAACACCTTCACTGGAATCATTTGGATCATTTCAGCTGTGGAATTGGTTAAAACTCTCACTACATGACATTAAAAGTTGGATGAAAGCATTTTAAGGTTTGGAAATGTAGACAAAATTACTCAAACGTGTGTGAATGAAACAAAACACAACTCCAGGTTTGTTTTTGAGGATGAAACAACATTCAAACGTGACTTAAAAGCTCACAAGAGTCAATTCTGCATCATATCGGACCTTTAAATCCTGGTCTAGATCTGTCCTACATCAAATTTAGTCAATGTTCACACTCGCACATAGACAGTGTTGGGGAGTAACAGATTACATGTACCGGAGTTACGTAATCAGAGTACAAATTATGAGTAACTGTATTCAGTTACAGTTACTGTTTCAGTGAGTGGTAATTGGATTACAGTTACTTTGTTGAAATAAATGGATTACACGGCGGCATTTTCCAGTTTTTACATTTTGGGCTGTATCCCCCTTTTGTTTTTTCTGTAATTCCACTCATTGCCGCATACTAAACTAGGTCTAAACCAGGTCTAAACCAGGTCTAAACCAGGTCTAAACCAGGTCTAAACCAGGTCTAAAACCAGGTCTAAAACCAGGCCTAAACCAGGTCTAAACCAGGACTAAAACCAGGTCTAAAACCAGGTCTAAAACAGGATTTAACAGGTCTAAACCAGGTCTAAAACAGGATTTAACAGGTCTAAACCAGGTCTAAACCAGGTCTAAAACAGGATTTAACAGGTCTAAACCAGGTCTAAAACCAGGTCTAAAACCAGGTCTAAACCAGGTCTAAACCAGGTCTAAAACCAGGTCTACAACCAATTCTAAAACCAGGTCTAAACTAGATCTAAATCAGGAATAAAACAGGATTTAACAGAACTAAACCAGGTTTAAATCAGGACTAAACCAGGATTTAACAGGACTAAACCAGGACTAAACCAGGTTTAAATCAGGACTAAACCAGGTTTAAATCAGGACTAAACCAGGTTTAAATCAGGACTAAACCAGGACTAAACCAGGACTAAACCATGCCGCATGGACCATGTCTCCTCCTCTTCTATCAATAATATTTTTTAATACGGTTAAGGAAAGTCTGGGCTTTTTATTTTCTTTAAGCAGATAAAACTTCTTATGCGAAAATATCCGAGTCTTTGCTTCTCTACAGCAAATCAAGTAATCCAAAGTATTCAGATTACATTACTCACTTTAAGTAATTTAATGGATTCCGTTACAAACTACATTTTGGGGTTTGTAATCTGTAATCTGTAGGGGAATACATTTTAAAAGTCACCTTCCCAACACTGCACAAAGACCGCGTCAAAACCGGGACTGGAACCAAGATCAAAACTACTACTAATCCTGGACTAGACGAGGACTAAACCAGGATTAAACCGAGTCTACATCTGGATTAAACCGGGTTCAAACCAGGACCCAACGAGGACAAGAGTGGACACACCCTTAGACCTCTTGTACATGGCTGAGATTGTATATTTTATTATTTTTCCATTTTATTTGGACATTTTTTGCTACTTATTTAGAATTTATTATTACCATTTATATTTTTACTCTTTGTTATTGTATTATATTGTGATGAGTGAGCGTCTGTGTCCAAATAATTTCTCTTGTGGATCAATAAAGTTCGTCTAAGTCTAAAACTTAGTAGGATCCTGGTCTACATTACACTAAAGCATCCCTATGTACCTTTTCTAGTTGTACATCTAGCACTGTCTTATCTCCATGGAGATGTTATCACTTTGCCCGGAATGTTCCGCAGTATGATCACCCTTCATGGAGACAAGCGGGCGAAGCCGACGGGACCGAATCACGAGTCAGATCTACGGAGAGGGGAAAAACACCTGTGACTGTCTAAATGTCATAATAACGTGGTGCATTCCAGGTAAAGCGGAAACATCTCCATGGAGACGGCAGGTGAAGGACTACCTCACCTGAAAAGTTACGTAGTACGAGGCAGGGTTGTAACAATAAGCGAAATATCGTGATATCGTATCGTCAAACTTCTTACAATAATATCGTGGACCATCACAATACATATCGAATTACAAATCTCTTTGCTTAAATGAAGAGGTCCGGTCTACCTCCTTGTCCCCTAGCCTCCTACCTCCTTCTTATTCTCCTACCTCCTTGTCCCCTAGCCTCCTACCTCCTTCTTATTCTCTTACCTCCTTGTCCCCTAGCCTCCTACCTCCTTCTTATTCTCTTACCTCCTTGTCCCCTAGCCTCCTACCTCCTTCATATTCTCTTACCTCCTTGTCCCCTAGCCTCCTACCTCCTCCTTATTCTCTTACCTCCTTCATATTCTCCTACCTCCTTCTTATTCTCTTACCTCCTTGACCCCTAGCCTCCTACCTCCTTCATATTCTCTTACCTCCTTGTCCCCTAGCCTCCTACCTCCTTCTTATTCTCTTACCTCCTTCATATTCTCTTACCTCCTTGTCCCCTAGCCTCCTACCTCCTTCATATTCTCCTAACTCCTTGTCCCCTAGCTTCCTATCTCCTTCTTATTCTCTTACCTCCTTGTCCCCTAGCCTTCTAGCTCTTTGTTTCCTACCTCCTTGACCCCTAGCTTCCTACCTATGGTGCCGCAATAGCTAAAAGATTTTTTAAAAAAGACAGAGGGAACTACATAGACCATGATCCTTTGCTCCATTTCAGTGCAGACTACAAGAACAAACAACAGTTCTAAACACTTAAGTCTTAGTTCTTTGGATTAAATCTTGTCGAGACATTTTAAGAGGAAAAAAAGTAGCATATACCACAAAATATCGCAACAAATATCGTACCGTAAGATGTATATCGTGAAAATATCGTACCGAGAGATTTGGATATCGTTACATCTCGGGCTGGGTATCATTAAGAAGTTGTCGATACGATACGTACCTCGATACATAGGCCACGATACGATACGCTTTTCCGATACAGTGAGCTTTCGATTCGATAGGATTCGTAACAATATATTTCACACTGATTCGATACGGTTCAGTGTAAAAAAGGCTAACTCGTGGTTGTTATACTAAAAGTTTACTAAGTTTATGCAAAGTTAATTTGAAAAACACCAATTTTACTCATCAAAATTTTGAAAATGTCAACACTTCTGTAGCTCTTACACAAAATTATTTAGTAAAATATACCAAAAATTACTCTTGCCGATATATCGATACAGCAGTCCACGATATCGATACTGTATCATCACATTAAACGATAATTCAATATTTTTGCACACCCCTAGTTACATCCCTAATCATGAGCCTCCCCTCCATATCGTGAGCTTTTCCACAATATCGCAATAATATCGCACCGTGAGGCTCATACCTTCACCTAGTACTAGCGCTGGGTATCATTAAGAAGTTGCCGATACGATACATACCTCGATACAGTGCACTTTCGTTTCGATATGATATATTTCAAATCGATTCGATACAGTTCAATAAAAAATAAAGGCTAAATCGTGGCTGTGATACTAAAAAAGTCTTTGTTAAACCACTTCTTGTGCAAAGTTCATATGAAACACGCCTATTTTACTCATTAAAACAGTGAAAATGTCAAATGTGTTGCATGAACAAGTTTCCTTCCTCAAAACAAACAACAAAACTGTAGCTGTAACAAAATAATTTTGTAAAATACACCAAAAAATACTCTTGGCAATATATCGATACTGTATCATCACATTAAACTATACGAAATATAGATATTTAAATGTTTTTGCACACACCTACATAGTACACCTTTAAACAGGTTCATTCTGGGTTCAGTCCTGAGGCGTGTCTGTTTTTCAATTTTGCTCCATTTAAAACTAGTTATTAAACAAGCTGATAAAAAGTCGATAAAAAAATATGAATGAACCTTCCGTGAATAATGATTTTAAGATGTATCAGAGCAAGTAAAAGAGAACATGGACACAGATATAAGGTCACATGGGAATATAAATGTTGAAACTCTGAAAAAATTTTGTTTTTTACATTATCAAGGCATCTGAATCACATTTGTATAAACTATAATTGTAAAACATGCTTCTTTGCGTGTCTGTTTTTCACTTTTGCTCCATTTAAACAGTTCCTGTAAAAAATACTGGCCTTTCAGTGCGGCCTATGGTTGTCAAAAGTATCGAAAAACAGACACTAATCGATATTAAAACTAGTATTTCAACAAGCTGATAAAAAGTCAATAAAAAAATATGAATGAACCTTTCGTGAATAATGATTTTAAACTGTATCAGAGCAAGAATAAGAGAACATGGACACAGATATAAGGCCACATGGGAATATAAATGTTGAAACTCTGAAAAAAATTGTGTTTTTTTACATGATCAAGGCATCTGAATCACATTTGTTTAAACTATAATTGTAAAACACGCTTCTTTGCACTTGTACCTCTTACCTAAATAACTACCTCTCATTACCTCAAACTATGAAACGTGCAATTTCTTAATCAGAACTGCTGACTCAAGTCCAAGATTCCTTCCATGCAAAAAAAAAAAAAAAACCCTGGGTGCAGAGGACTATGTTTTTGGGCTAACCTGTTTTTGAATACGGATTTAAATACAGCTGATGTAAACATGCGGTCATTGTGCGTCCATTTTACGCTCTTAGAAGTGTCCTGTTTGTAATGCACACACAGTGTTGGGGAGTAACAGATTACATGTACCAGAGTTACGAAATCAAGAGTACAAATTATGAGTAACTCTATTCAGTTACAGTTACTGTTTCAGTGAGTGGTAATTGGATTACAGTTACTTTGTTGTTTTCACATTTCGGGCTATATTCTTTTTTTTTTTGGTAATTCCACTCATTGCCGAACACTAAACCAGGTCTAAACCCGGTCTAAACCCGGGTCTAAAACTGGGTCTAAACCAGATCCAAACCAGGTCTAAACCAGGTCCAAACCAGGTCTAAATCAGGTCTAAACCAGGTCTAAAACCGGGTCTAAACCAGATCTAAACCAGGTCCAAACCAGGTCTAAACCAGGTCCAAACCAAGACTAAAGCAGAACTAAAACCAGGTCTAAATCAGGATTAAACCAAGTCTAAACCAGGTCTAAAGTAGGTCTAAAGAAGGTCTAAAGCAGTCTAAAGCAGGTCTAAAGCAGGTCTAAAAGCAGGTCTAAAGCAGGTCTAAAACCAGGTCCAAACCAGGACTGAACCAGACTAAACCAGGACTGAACCAGATCTAAACCAGGACTGAACCAGGACTAAAACCAGGACTAAACCAGGACTAAAACCAGGTCTAAACCAGGACTAAACCAAAACTAAACCAGGCCTAAACCAGGTCTATAACAGGATTTAACAGGACTAAACCATGCTGCGTGGACCGTGTCTCCTTGTCTTCTCTCAATAATATTTTCAGTACGGTTCAAGTAAAGTCTTACGTTACGATTTCCTCGTCTTTGCTTCTCTACGGCAAAACCAAGTCATCCAAAGTATTCAGATGACGTTACTCACTTTTAAGTCATTTACTGGATTACGTTACATACCCCAAAAATTGTAGTTTGTAATCTGTAATCTGTAATCTGTAGGGGAATACATTTTTTAAAAGTAACCTTCCCAACACTGTGCAGCACACGGAACACCCAGTCCTGGAGTATTTTTGGAGCAATTATGCAATATTGTAAGAGGGCTAAACCAAAACTAAAAACATCACGGGTCAGCTCAACAATGCACACAAATGCGACAAATGTGCTCTTATAAAATCTAATCGTTACACCGGGTTTTTACACTAAGAAAAGCAGCGTGTTATTGCGTGTTTAACTCAATCGTATTTATATATAAGTAAGAGATTTGTGGTGTTTTATATGATCGGTTTTACATCGTTTGGAAACACCTGCTGCTAACGCGTCGTCCCCCCAGTTCCGCGGTGACTCGGAGGGGAAGCTAACGCGGCTAAAAGCGGACACAACACGGCCCGGAGCTGCGGGGAAACAGCGCCCGGAGCCGGGGGTGGAAAGGGGTACAGAGCGAACCCGGGGCCCGGTTACCTTAGAAATCCGCTTTAAAGCCATTGTGTCTGCGCCGAGGGGGCCGGCTGTCGAGCGGGAGCAGGCGGCGGAGAAGAGGAGGAGGCCAGGCCGGGGGAAGAGCGGAGCTTAGCGGGCTAACAACACTAGCATGGGACTGTGCTAAAACGGTGCTAAGGTTGAACACTGTGGCGGCGGTTGGAAGTTGGAGGCGGCGGGTAAACGAGGCGCAGAGGCCGAGCTCCGGGTGCGGATCGCCGGGGACGTGGGGGAAAGGGAGGAGGCTCTGGATCACCGGCGTTGGGTTGACCGACCGACCGCACGGGCTCAAAATGTCCTCCGGTTACCGACGGCGAGCGGAGAGAGAGCGGAGAGAGAGCGGGCGGGCGGGCGGCAGCTGTCACAACGGAGCCAGCGGAGGTCTCACTCTGGACGGGAAACCGGGAGCGGAGAGAGCAGAGAGAGGGGAAGAGGAGGACAGACCGATCACTCTGCGCTCTCGCCGAAACACTCGCCAATAAAAAGGAAGTGCGTGTCGAAATACTTTGACGTTAAACTAAATATCCCGGTTTACATTTACAGTACATTTATAGTTTATACAAGAAGAAAAAAACGTTCAGTTGTCCGCGTTTCTGACCGATTTGATCCGCACCAACAGTAAAGAGACGAATATATTGTCTTTTTTTTAAAATTATTATTATTTTATTTTTAGCTAAAATATAAAAATCATGCTTGGAAATGACCATAAAAAAACAATAATAAAAAAAAAAAAAAAAAAAAAAAAAAAGATGCTAAATAGACAATGCTGCGTGCTCTTAGTAATAATAATACATTCTTTAGCTAAAATATAGAAACGATGCTTGAAAATGACCTTAAAAGAAGTATTTATTGATCCACAAGGGAAATTATTTGGACACAGTAACTCACACATCAATATAAAAAATATAAATGGTAAAAAAAAATTCTAAATAAGTAGCAAAAATAGTAAGTACCAAAAGTAAAGAGAGGAATATATTGTTATTTGTTTAGGTAAAATATAAAAACCATGCTTGGAAATGACCATTAAAAATATTAATAAAAAAAAAAAAAAGCAACAACAACAAAGAATAGACAACGCTACATGCTCCTGGTAATAATAATAATAATACATAGTAAATAGTTCAGCTAAAATATAGAAACCATGCTTGAAAAGTCAAAATTAAGATAGAAAAATAAGTAATAAAACATCTCAGCTCTATACAAGAGGTCATAGGAAGACAGTGTAACAACAATAAAACCAGTGATTTGTCCCAGTTTTATACAAGAAATGTCCCAGTTGTCCACATTTCTGACCAATCTGATCCGCACCAACAGTAAAGAGGGGAATATATTGTCAGTTTTTTATTTATTTATTTATTTTTTTGCTAAAATATAAAAAACATGCTTGGAAATGACCATTAAAAAATATTAATTAAAAAAAAAAAAAAAAAAAGCAAAAACAGCCCCTCAGATTATGACAACAAGAAAGAATAGACAACGCTACGTGCTCTTAGTAATAATAATACATTGTTTAGCTAAAATATAGAAATGATGCTTGAAAATGACCTTAAAAGAAGTATTTATTGATTAACAAGGGAAATTATTTGGACACAGTAACTCACACATCAATATAAAAAAATATTGATAATAAATGGTTTAGACCTGGTTTAATCCTGGTTTAGTCCTGGTTTAGTCCTGGTTTAGACCTGGTTTAGTCCTGGTTTAGTCCTGGTTTAGTCCTGGTTTAGACCTGGTTTAGACCTGGTTTAGACCTGGTTTAGACCTGGTTTAGTTCCTGGATTAGTCCTGGTTTAGACCTGGTTTAGACCTGGTTTAGACCTGGTTTAGACCCTGGTTTGTTTGGACCTGGTTTAGACCTGGTTTTAATCCTGGTTTAGTCCTGGTTTAGACCTGGTTTAGACCTGGTTTAGACCTGGTTTAATCCTGGTTTAGTCCTGGTTTAGTCCTGGTTTAGACCTGGTTTAGACCTGGTTTAGACCTGGTTTAGACCTGGTTTTAATCCTGGTTTAGTCCTGGTTTTAGTCCTGGTTTAGTCCTGGATTAGTCCTGGTTTTAGACCTGGTTTTAGTCCTGGTTTAGACCTGGTTTTAGTCCTGGTTTAGTCCTGGATTAGTCCTGGTTTAGACCTGGTTTTAGTCCTGGTTTTAGTCCTGGTTTTAGACCTGGTTTTAGTCCTGGTTTAGACCTGGTTTTAATCCTGGGTTAGTCCTGGTTTAGACCTGGAAAAAAGGAAGTTTTATTTGATATATTTATTCATATGTATTGCCTGTTATGTTTACGTTGTAATAAATCATAAATATGTAGATGATGACACTGTTCAGTTTTATGGTAATGCAGCTGAAACATGAACAGGCCTGTAAATGTCAAACTGTGGCCCTCAAACCCTTTTTCCTGGCCCTGGACTCCTGGATTGGCCCACATTAGTCTGTCTTTAGCCCAAAAGCCACTGTCACTGTTTGTTATGGGCCAGTACTGAATGAATAACTCACATTTGGGTGAATAGACGTGATAGTAATAGAGGCATGGGCACCTCACCGCATCACGTAACCTCACCTTATTTTGGTTTTTGGTTTGGAGTGTAAGTTTCACATCTTTTTCTCAGTTTTTTTTTTCTTCTCTCAATAGGTTAGGCTATTTTTTTTTGTACATAGGCTTAACTCATGTACAAAGCAAAAAGTGGAGTGTTAAAATTGACTCTCACAGAATCAATTTTAACATTTTCTCAGAGTTCATATGAGTCCAGTCTGTTCTAGAGTTAATTTAACATATTTGGAAATATTAATTCAGTAACACTGGACCAAAGTTCTGCTGTTTAACCCCGAAATCAAGAGTTATATTAACGTTTTGAGAGTAAACCGAGTAACACTTTGTAGGGTTATTCTGATTTAACTGAACAACATACAGAGGTGTTTTATTTTTACACTTTATTTTAGTTAATTTAAGATGAAATTATGTACAAAACTGGTTCAAAATGGTCTTTTCTGGCGAGAGTTTGAAGTGGTGGTGGGAGGAGCCAAATTAACACTAAAAGAAGTTGAATTAACACCAGGAGAAGATGAATTAACTTCAATCATATCGACTCTGGTAAATAACCCCAACTCCCATTTAACGTTCAAATAGTTAAATTAACAGAGTCGTTTTTAACACAGTGTTAAAAACAACTCTGAAACATTTTAACCCTCCACTTTTTGCTGCGTACAAAGAAAGATTTTGCTTGTTGGTAGCGTTGAATGAATGAATAAGCTTTCTAGAATGATAACGGATTACAGATTCAGATGGAGAGTAGGGTTCTAAACAACTCTATTCACTATTTTTTAAGAAATATACAATAACATGAAGAGAAAATCCACATAGGCGCAGTGTGTCAAACATCATTATCCTGTTTATTACAGACTGGATCCACACGTCTGCTTCATGTGTTAATCTAAAGCTGCACACTCTGAATCACGGACACATTATAGAAAATAAAAGATAAATTTCAGACAGAGTTGACATTTGAACTCTTGACATTCTGCAGTGTGACGCCGCATGACCCCGACCTGTCACTGCCTGAACAACACTGCCCTCTGCTGATGGAAGTCTGTTTTCTGTAAACGCGATGCGATATGAATCAAAACAGGTCTACAAGATTTGTCTTATATTTTATTTATAAATAGTCTTGTAAAATTAAATATGATAAAAGCAAATAAATGATTTTCCCAATAACAATTGATTGAAATATTGTATTTTTTCCTCATAATTGTATGTGACAAGTAATATAACCTGCAGGTCTGTGTTTGATGGTGCAGTCTTGACTACAACACTAATAGACCAAGACCAGTCCGAGACCACAGGGTCCCAAGACCTGGTCAAGACCAAGACCTCTGAGAGTCGACACCAAGACAAGACAACGACCATGGCCCATCGAGACCAGATCAAGACCATTTTTGTAATTTTCAATGTTTATTTGTATTTTTAGTTATTTTGGCACATTTATATAAATATTTTTTATAAATCTATCTCCATTAAATAAGCCAAGGAAACTGTACTGGACTTAAACACTCTTAAACACACTTTTTGGACCTTCACCTACAGTTTGAGAACCTCTTCTTTGAGAGAACTTCCACTGTTTTTTCAAGTTTCTAACTGGAGTTGCATTCTCTTACTGGTTTTGCAGTGGGATTTAACCTCTGCACATTTAACAAACACACGTAATGACAAACAAAGATGCATTTGTGAACTTTTATTAGGTAAACTTCAGCCACATGTCATGGTAAGAATTTAATTGCCGACAGCAGCGGCCGTAATGAAATATGATCACATTCATCAAGTGTCAGAGCTCGAATCCAAGACAAGACCGAGTCCAAGTGCCTTCAAGACCAAGACAAGACCGAGTCCAAGTGCCTTCAAGATGGAGACAAGACCGAGTCCAAGTGCGTTCTAGATGGAGACAAGCCCGAGTCCAAGTGCCTTCAAGACCAAGACAAGACCGAGTCCAAGTGCCTTCAAGACCAACACAAGACCGAGTCCAAGCGCCTTCAAGACTGAGACAAGATGGAGTCCAAGTGCCCTCTAGATCGAGACAAGACCGAGTCCAAGTGCCTTCAATATCGAGACAAGACTGAGTCCAAGAACCTTCAAGACTGACACAAAACCAAGTCTAAGCCCCTTCAAGACCAAGACAAGACCGAGTCCAAGCGCCTTCAAGACTGAGACAAGATTGAGTTCAAACGCAGTCGAGTCCAAGACAAGACCAAGACCGTAAAAAAAACGGTGTCGAGACCAAGACTGGCATTTTGTATTTTAGTTCTCACCATTGACTGTATATTTAAATGGACATAACTTGACCTGTTAGTAGCCGCGTTCCAAACATGAAGAGACTGGGGGCTTGATTCTGGTGTTTTTATTTCACTGTTTTGTCCTTCAATCAGTTCTTATTCCTAATACGGAACTTGGCTCCAAATTCACTCCTGTAACTATAAACCTCAATGAGCTTCATTTGACTGGAACGCTGTGGGTGACGTCCCAATCCCTTAGTCCACTTCTTTATACAGTCTATGGTTCTAAAACTGATTATTCAACCAGATCCTATGACAAAAAAACTGTTTGTAATAAACGTAAAATCTCTCTGTGATGTGTGACATGAAAGAGAATGAACTGATGTGGGAGCGCGAATTACATTTATTCAAATCAAACAGAAAACACACACCGGTGTCTTCAAAGATGTGCAAATACAAAGAGCAGCTACTTCAAAAAATTAATGAATAAATAAGAATATAAATAAATAAAACAGCATAGCACACTTTTTATTTTTTTGAGATTATGTTTTGGGCAAAAAATCTTCATCATCAGGTCTTTTTCTTTTTCACGGACCACAGTTTGGTTTTCTGCTGAAACGTTAAAGATGCATTGTGTATCTTTTCTGGATCGGCCCGCAACTTGTTCGTCTCCATGGAGATGTTAATACTTTAGTTTAAATAGTCCACAGTATGGCATTAAACAAATCTGTCTTGCATTTGTTCAACTCCAGGTGTTATTAATTGCTCAAAAACATCTTAAAAACATCGATTCTTGTTGTGAGTGGGGTCGCCTCTCCACAGATCTAACCTGCAAGTCCCATGAAGATTCTTTATTTCTTTAAGTTTATACTGTGGGACATTCTAGGCACATCTCCATGGAGACAAGCAGTCTCCTTTTAAAATGTATTCCCCTACAGATTACAGATTACAAACCCAAAATGTAGTTTGTAACTTAATGCATTAAATTACTTAAAGTGAGTAATGTAATCTGAATACTTTGGATTATTTGATTTGTTGTAGAGAAGCAAAGACGAGGAACATAACGTAACATAAGATGTTTTATCTGCTAAAAGAAAATGAAAAGGCCGAGTCTTTACTCTTACTCTCTTTACTTAACCAGATTAAAACTATTATTGATAGAAGACCTGATTTAGTCCTGGTTTAGTCCTGTTAAATCCTGTTTTAGACCTAGTTTAGACCTGGTTTAGTCCTTGTTCAGACCTGGTTTAGACCTGGTTTAGTCCTGGTTTAGACCTAGTTTAGACCTGGTTTAGACCTGGTTTAGTCCTGGTTTAGACCTAGTTTAGACCTAGTTTAGTCCTAGTTTAGACCTGGTTTAGTCCTAGTTTAGACCTGGTTTAGACCTGGTTTAGTCCTGGTTTAGACCTAGTTTAGTCCTAGTTTAGACTTGGTTTAGACCTGGTTTAGTCCTGGTTCAGACCTGGTTTAGATCTGGTTTAGTCCTGGTTTAGTCCTAGTTTAGACCTGGTTTAGTCCTGGTTTAGACCTAGTTTAGACCTGTTGTAGACCTGGTTTAGACCTGGTTTAGACCTGGTTTAGACCTGGTTTAGTCCTGGTTTAGACCTAGTTTAGACCTGTTTTAGTCCTAGTTTAGACCTGGTTTAGTCCTAGTTTAGACCTGGTTTAGACCTGGTTTAGTCCTGGTTTAGACCTAGTTTAGACCTGGTTTAGTCCTAGTTTAGACCTGGTTTAGACCTGGTTTAGTCCTGGTTTAGACCTGGTTTAGTCCTAGTTTAGACCTGGTTTAGTCCTGGTTTAGACCTAGTTTAGACCTAGTTTTAGTCCTAGTTTAGACTTGGTTTTAGACCTGGTTTAGTCCTGGTTCAGACCTGGTTTAGATCTGGTTTAGTCCTGGTTTAGTCCTAGTTTAGACCTGGTTTAGACCTGGTTTAGACCTAGTTTAGACCTGTTGTAGACCTGGTTTAGACCTGGTTTTAGACCTGGTTTAGTCCTGGTTTAGACCTAGTTTAGACCTGTTGTAGACCTGGTTTAGACCTGTTGTAGACCTGGTTTAGACCTGTTGTAGACCCTGGTTTAGACCTGGTTTAGACCTGGTTTAGTCCTGGTTTAGACCTAGTTTAGACCTGTTGTAGACCTGGTTTAGACCTGGTTTAGACCTGGTTTAGACCTGGTTTAGTCCTGGTTTAGACCTAGTTTAGACCTGTTGTAGACCTGGTTTAGACCTGGTTTAGACCTGGTTTAGACCTGGTTTAGACCTGTTGTAGACCTGTTTAGACCTGGTTTAGACCTGGTTTAGTCCTGGTTTAGACCTAGTTTAGACCTGTTTTAGACCTGGTTTAGACCTGGTTTAGACCTGGTTTAGACCTGGTTTAGACCTGGTTTAGACCCGTTTTAGACCTGTTTTAGACCTGGTTTAGTCCTGGTTTAGACCTAGTTTAGACCTGTTGTAGACCTGGTTTAGACCTGGTTTAGTGTCCGGCAATGAGTGGAATTATTGAGAAAAAAATAGATGAATGAAATGTGAAATCTGCCTCTAAAATCTGCAAAGCAAATTTACCTACGGGTACAAATAAAACAACTTAACCTGACTTTAAAAAAAGAGGATAAGCCCCAAATATGAAAACAGGAAAATGCCGCCGTGTAATCCATTTATTTCAACAAAGTAACTGTAATCCAATTACCACTCACTGAAACAGTAACTGTAACTGAATACAGTTACTCATAATTTGTACTCTGATTACTAACCTCCGGTACATGTAATCTGTTACTCCCCAACACTGGTGACTGGCAGGTGACAGACCCTCCACTACACAATGCACCATTAAAATGATGTTAATACTTCATCTTTAGTTAAGCGTATTTTAACGGTGATGTGTATTTTTAAACATCTGATATGAAACACCACAAAAGATGTTATCAGGTCATTTCACAGTCAAATGGAGGGGATTTACATGACCTCAGTACACACAGGATTTAAATATTACTACTATTACCACTACTTCCTCTTTTGTAGCACGCCAAAGTATTTACTTAGATAAACTTTATTGATCCACAAGAGAAATGAATTGGACACAAGAGCTCAAACATCACACTAAAATATAATAACAAAGAGTAAAAATATGAACATAAAATCGAACAAAGTGCTATATAAGCCGCAAAGAACAATACAAAAGTAATAAAAATAGCGTACAAAAACAGACAATGATGCAGACAATCCAACCAATTATAATAAATAAATAAAAAGAACTAGAATACAAATAAATAAGGAATAAAATCAAGTTAAAACCAGTTAAAAAAAAGGGAGCCAAACGATGAAATGAGTCTTTAAAAGTGATTTAAAAGATAATGCTGATGGAGCGAGTCTTATTTCCTCAGGCAGATCGTTCTAAAGCCGAGGTGCCCGTGCTGAAAAGGTATCAAAAGTTTTATAACACCTTAATTTTTTAAATAATTTTTCCTCGATCTCGGGAATCGTCGCCAACAAAGAATGTATGGCTCTTGGCTGATTTGCTGGTGCCCAAACTCGCACTTCCGTCTAGTGTATTCTGATTCCTGATTACAGGGTGCGAAACGGAGGCAGACAGCAGTTTCCTCTCCAGCAGCAGAACACAGAATGATGTTTGGAGGCGCCTTTTATTCTTGTCTCACTGATTGGATAAAACTACAACAGCTAAAACAGTGACGGTAAAAATTAACATAAAATTAAACTTTAAATATTGACCTAACCTAACACTAACCCATCCTTCCATCCATCCATTTTGTTCCATTTATCCGGGGCCGGGTCACGGGGGCAGCAGTCTAAGCAGGATACTCCCAGACTTTCTTCACCCCAGACACTTCCTCCAGCTCCTCCGGGGGGATCCTGAGGTGTTCCCAGGCCAGCCCAGAGACATAGTCCCTCCAGCGTGTCCTGGGTCTTTTCCGGGTCCTCCTCCCAGTGAGACATGCCTGGAACACCTCCTGAGGGAGATGCCCAAGCCGGCTGCTGGCTCCTCTCGACATGGAGGAGCAGCAGCTCTACTCCGAGCTCCTCCACTGTGACTGAGCTCCTCACCCTGTCTCTAAGGGAGCGCCCAGACACCCTGGTACACTTGGTCACTACCCAGAGCTTGCCTCACGTGGAGGAGTTCATGTATCTCGGGGTCTAACACTAACCCTAAACCCAAAACCAAATAACTATTAAAACCCAACTATATACATGAAACCCCTAAAACCACACACCAATTTAACTTTAAAACTCATAAACCAATAAAACATAAATAAAAAAAGAGGAAAAGCAGGTAAAAACAACCACAACCACAACAACAACAACATTCATTAAAACACTATAAAATACACTACCACACACACACCTCAACTCTTAAAACATTTCAAAACAGATATATTGCACCATATATTTCACTAACTCAATTTAGGTAATTGGTTAATAATGTCTCCTTTTCCTCCAGGGATCACAGATTTTTAATTAAAGTGCCACTGTGCCTCAGGATTAAAAGCGGTAAAGGTAAAGACAATAAATACATTTTAAAACCAATTATGTGCAATGTCTTTTTAAGTTTAAAGTGCTGTGTGTGATCAAAAGTGCAGCGTTTTTAAAGGTGGGGGTAATAACTTGGTGTATGGAAGGATCCTTCTCCTCCAGACTTTAACACATGGATGGACAATTTGATGAAAATAGTCTCATGTGAGAAATTATTGGCTAAGATGAATGATAACATGGACATTTTTGTAAAATCTTGGGCACCTGTTTTTGATTGAAATGCCTGTGACAGGTTTGACTAAAACACATTTGAAATTGGTGCATTGGGAAAACAAATCTTTGTTTTTGGCCTTTATGGATGTGGGATCGATGTGGCCTTTTTATTTAGAACTGAAATGAATTGTATTTGTAACAGGTTAAACTGAGTGGAAATTAGAGACATGTGGAAGCTTGTCACATGCACTTTCACATTTTTATTTTATTGTTTATTTTTGCTCTGGAGTGCACTTGCATATGCATATGTACAGATAAATTTGTTGTTTTACTCCTTCAGCCCAAAGTAATGTGCTCCTCTTTGTTATGTTATATGGTAAAAATTGTAAAATAAAATCAAAACTTGAATAAAAAAAAAAAAAAAAAGTGCAGTGTTTTAAAGTGTCTTAGTGAAGAGAGAAGATGCCTGTTTGTTACAGTAAATGTACAAGTCAAAATAAAGTAGAAAAATAAGTAAAATACAGTAATAATTATAATAAAATCTCAGCTCGATAAGGAAATCATAAAGGAAAACAGTGCAAAACGTACATGATGATTGACAGGACGGGGGTTATCTGGGGTTATCCATACAGTGAGTTGTTGTTGTTGTACAGTTATGTGGAGTGTTATCTGTTACATGAGGGTGTGCTGTTGTAGGACATGTTATCTGTTGCATAAGGGTGAGTTTTTGTACAGCTGTAGGGAGTATTATCTGTTACATAGGGGTAAAATGTACAGGAATATATCTGTACATTTACCAGTCTCAAAACTTTCACAATCCGTGTATTATTTTGTTTATTCGTTTTTCAAAATATAAAAACAAAAATAAGAATTAAAAAAACAACGATTTTCTTCATTATTTGTCTCCAAAACTAAAATGAAAAAACAGATAATGATTCGTTTTTTCAGTTTTTGATTGGACTGGACTGAAGCAGGAGTGTCGGGACGGGCTCGGAGTTGCGCCCGTGCAGACTTTTGGGTGATCAGGACTGAGACTGGGACCAGACCGAGACCAGAGACCAGGACCAGGACTGAGAACGGTACTGACTAGACCTTGACTGAGACCAGGACTGAGACTGGTTTTGTCCTGGTTTAGACTTGGTTTAGTCCTGGTTCAGTTCTGGTTTAGTCCTGACTTAGACCTGGATTGGTCCTGGGATCAGTCCTGGTTTAGACCTGGTTTACTCCTGTTTTAGTCCTGTTTTGGTCCTAGTTCAGTCCTGGTTTAAACCTGGTTTAGAACTGTTTTAGTCCTGGTTCAGTCCTGGGATCAGTCCTGGTTTATACCTGGTTTCCCTGGGATCAGTCCTGGTTCAGTCCTGGGATCAGTCCTGGTTTGGTCTTGGTTTACTCCTGTTTTAGTCCTGTTTTGGTCCTAGTTCAGTCCTGGTTTAAACCTGGTTTAGTCCTGATTTAGACCTGGTTCAGTCCTGTTTTAGACCTGGTTTAGACCTGGTTTAGAACTGTTTTAGTCCTGGGATTAGTCCTGGTTTATACCTGGTTCAGTCCTGTTTTAGTTCTGTTTCAGTCCTGGTTCGGTCGTGGTTTAGTCCTGGTTTAGTCCTGGATTAGTCCTGGTTTAGTCCTGGTTTGGTCCTGGTTCATTCTTGTTTTTGTCCTGGTTCAGTCCTGGTTTAGACCTGGTTTAGTCCTGGTTCAGTTCTGGTTCAGTCCTGTTTTAATCCTGGTTCAGTCCTGGGATCAGTCCTGTTTTAGACCTGATTTAAACCTGGTTCAGTCCTGGTTCAGTCCTGTTTTAGTCTTGGTTTAGTCCTGGTTCAGTCCTGTTTTAGTCTTGGTTTAGTCCTGGTTCAGTCCTGTTTTAGTCTTGGTTTAGTCCTGGTTCAGTCCGGCATCACAATTTAAGCCACATAAACGGGGAAACGGCCATTATTATCAGTTTTTTCCATTTTTCATTTAAACACAAAATCGAAAAACTGAAAAAAACAAAACAAATCATGATCTGTTTTTTTTTTTCATTTTGGTTTTGGAGACAGAAACAGAAACGCAGCCACCCAGACGCATGTGCCCGTGCGTAACTGTGCGTATGTAAAGAAGGCCGTAGAATAATGATTATAAATAACCCTTTTGAAGCCTCTATAAACGCGTTAGAGTCGCACGAGACTTTGCATATTTTCTTTAAAAGCAAACAAAATGATTCAAATGAGGACCACAATATGAGCCGTGTTTGAGCTCAGACGGCGACAGACTGGCTGCAGCACTGACACAGTATTTGCCGGCCCTTTGACTCCGCCCCCTGTGTATCATTCACTCTGGCCCCTCAGTCCAGGTTTAGTCCAGTTTTTAGTTCCCGTTAAGACCTGGTCCAGTCCTGGTTCAGTCCTGGATTTCCAAATGGAGCCAGTTTTTCTTGGAGCTGTTACAATCCTGGGTTTGCTTGAACAAGGTAACTATTATTACTACTACTACTATTACTACTACTACTACTACTACTACTACACTGGAAAAAACTATATCTGTGTAAGTTAAAATGACTTAAATTAAGAACATTTTACTTTATTTGAGCTGATTCAACTTGACAAGTAAAATTATCTACCAACAGAATAAGTGTGTTTCGATTAGATTTTGTTTCTTATTTTAAGTGCAAAAAGTTGTTGTTTTTCTTTTTTTAAGTGGAGTAAGATGTATTTTCGTATTTTAAGTACAAAAAGTTTTATTCCACTGGCAGATCATTTTGCTTTTCAAGTGAAATTTACTCAAATTGTGATAAAAATTTTGTGAATTCAAGTCATCTGAACTTGACTACATTTTGTTTTTTGCTGTGTACTACTACTACTACTACTACTACTACTACTACTACTACTACTACTACTATTATTATTACTACTACTACTGCTAATGCTAATGGTGGGGACTTGCAAGTCGTGACTTGGACTTGAGTCACCATTTTCACGACTTGACATTTGATAAAATGAACTAAGACTTGGGACTCGACTCGGACTTGAAGGTCATTGACTTGAGAAACACTTCTTCTGACTGTAATGACCTAAGTCTTAGAGTCGGCGTCAGAGCACATCTACTGGAGGGGCGCGGGTCACCAGCAGGGGGGGCACTGCCATTTGAGAAATATTTTAACGCGGTGGAGTCATACACAGCAGACATGCTTCAAACATGTTTTTCTTTAACAGTATTAGGCTAATTATGTGTTGTTATTAGGGATGGGCATGATTAATTGATAATTGATCATTAAGAATTTCATCGATTACATTAATTTTAATCGACAAACCGAATGTAGGTTGCTGTGTGTAGTGTGACCAAACAGGTGTGTACATGTGTCTCTGCATCTGAAGGAGCGAGACACAAACAGTCAGTCAGTCTGCAACGTACTGAAGCATAAATGCGTAATTAACGATGATTTGTACAAGAAATTCCACACTTTCCGTTGCATTCGGGACAAGTGTGAGTCCATGTGCACAGTGTATAAAGTACGAACATATGTTTCGGTGTCCAGTGGGAAAAAGTTTTGCCAGGTGAGAGTCGCTCAATGTCGATGACGATGACCCACCTCCCTCCCCCCGTACGGTGTCCTGGTTCTGACAAACGCAAATCTGGTCACACTAACCTGTATTCTACTGAGTCATGTCTTTTAATCCGACAGAAATTGAACCACATCAGCGACACAAGAGCTGTAGTTTTATCTTCGCTGAGTTTATGCAAATTAGCGATGCGGTTTTAAGTTTAGTTTCTGTGAGAGTTGAACAAAACTGAATTAAACACATTATAATGTCAAACGGGCTGATGTGGCTCTAGAGTCGTTACGGTTTATATGTCATAAAGTTGAATTTATTTATGCAGATTAGTAGTGCAGAGAGTAATAATAATGATGATAATTTTAATATAAAAACGTTAATGATTAATCGATAATCGATTGTTAATTCTTCCGACGATCGATTAAGAAAATTTCATCGAATGCCCATCCCTAGTTGTTATTATAATCATTATTATATTAAGATGATTATTATTAGCTGCAATAGTTGTTGAGGCTGTGTGGTAGACGATACACACACAAGACAATAATAAAAGGTTGAGGTTTATTAAAAAACAATAAGTCCTGCCACTGGTTGTAAACATTAAACAACAGCCTCTCGTCAAAAACACCTCTGAACTAGAAATAGGCACGCATCGGACAGCACCAGGGCTGTAGTGAACGTGGTACACGAGGGTAACGCCGTCCAGTCCTGTCCTATAGAGACCTGAGACTTGAGGGACCGGGACTAAACCAGGACTAAACCAGGACTAAACCAGGACTAAACCAGGACTAAACCAGGACTAAACCAGGACCAGTGGCGGCTGATGGTATAATTTTTGGGAGGGGCACCAAGGGCAAAATTATAAATATATATAATGAATAATATAAGTATTATATATATATAGGCTGTAGTATTATAACAAATACCAGAAACAGACATTTTGGTTAGTATTGGCTGAACAATATCGATCAGAGCACAATGAACAGCCAAGAGCAAACTTTACGCAACAACACAGCGTAACACGCCGCTCACACCCAGACCCAACAACGTCAGTAAAACTACAATAAGAGACATGAACACAGATGCCGCTCCTACAGCACACGACAGAACAACCAGAGCAGCTCCATCATATACACCAGCTCATTTACGCACTATTAACTATTAACACTATAACACTATTTAACTATTAACACTATAACACTATTTAACTATTAACACTATAACACTATTAACTATTAACTATTAACACTATAACTATTACACTATTTAAACTATTAACACTATAACACTATTTACACTATTAACACTATATTAACACTATTAAAACACTATTTAACTATTAACTACTATAACACTATTATACTATTAACATTAACACTATAACACTATTTAACTATAATAACACTATAACACTATTAACTATTAACACTATAACACTAAACTATTAACACTATAACACACTATAACACTATTTAACTATTAACACTATAACACTATAAACTATTATAACAAACACTATAACACTATAACTATTAACACTATAACAACTATTTATAACACTAATAACACACTATTAACTATTAACACTATTTTAACTATTAACACTATAGCTATAACACAAGTGAGGCTCCAAGTTCAGATTTGCCGCAAACTAATGAAAACCAGCCTCTTACCTTCTCCAGAGACTGAAGCAGAATGTTTCCTCTGTCCACTGTCCCACTGGTTCTGTTTCCAAAAGTCTATTGTCCAATATGAAGAGATGAAACTGGTCCAAATCCTGGTCCAGTCTGGTCCGTGAGGCGAGGTCCCGGAGCCGAGTGCTCAGGTCAAACTTTTACACCCAGAAACAAGCGGGCAAAGGCGGATAGAGCAGCGAGCGAGAGCCCCGGCCCGGTGGCGACTGCCCCGGGTCCCAGCGGCGACTGTCCCGAGTCCGGGCGGCGACTGTCCCGGGTCGCGGCAAAGAATGTCCCGGTTCCGGCAGCGGTAGCGACAGCCCCGGGTCCCGGCGGCGGGTCTGTCCGTGTGTCTTTGACTCTGTTCTCGTCATTTCCTGTGTGGAGCTTTAGGCTAAAGTAGCAGCTGCCGCTAATCGTGAAGCTGCTTCAAGTTGACGCAGCAGGTTGACGTGACGTGACGTGAGTGACAGGACAGTTGTCCAATCACATTACACTAAATAAACAGAGACTGTGATGTCATTGATGTCACAGTAAAGTTTGTGCCCTCAGCCCGAAGTGAAATGCGCCAATCAAAATCATTTTAAAATAGTCATAATAACGGCCTGTTGGGGGGTGGGGCACCAGTGGCCGCTAGGGGGGGCACGGCCCTCAAATGCCCCCCCTTGCCGCCGACACCGCTCTAAGATCTTGACAAGACATTTAAAAAGGAAGAATTTGCATTTCTACAAATCTTACATACTCTATAAATACTCATATATAAAAATACTATGATTTTTATAAGTACAATTTATCTTAAAATTCATATAAATTGCAAAAATCTAAGCTAAATTTGGTACTTTGGTACTTGACATGACTTGAAGCTCAAAGCAGACAACTTGGACTTGACTTGGACTTATGGGCCAGTGACTCGAGACTCGACTTGGACCTGCCTGTATTTGACTTGGTACTTGACTCAGACTCGAGTTCAAAGACTTGAGACTTACTTGCGACTTGCAAAATGACGACTTGGTCCCACCTCTGACTTCTACCATAACAATTTCATCCATAAAAAGAGAACAATTTGAATTAAAATGGATAAAACATACGGACATCATTACAAAAGTGGAATGTTCAACAATATGGCATTAAACAATTCTATCTTGTAATTACCATAGACCAGACCTGTCAAACTCAGGCCCGGGGTCCAAATTTGGCCCTCGATATAATTATATTTGGCCCACAAGATCATATCAAATATGAATTAGAGCTGCCTGCCCACTACAGATCTGCTATAGAGACATTATTTATTTAAAATGTTGTTATTATTTTATATTTTGCTTGTTCTGGATTCAATGTTTAAGCAAAACTATTATTAAACATTTAAGTAAATATTTAGTTTGACCCACGACTTTGTCCCAGTTTTTAATTTTGGCCGTTTGTGAATTTGAGTTTGACACCCCTTTGCGTATAAATGGACATACCTAATGTATATTTAACTCATTTCTCTGGAAGACTGGAAACGCTGTGGATGACGTCACTCTCTTAGTCCATTTCCTTACTCAACTGTCCAGAACAATAAAAACATGCAGTGACTGAACCAGGTCCATTTAAAACACTTTAAACTAAACTAAGGTCCTAAACCAGGACTGAACCAGGACTAAACTAAACCAGGTCTA